AGTCCACTGAATTTTCCTGCCTCCCCCTGCAGCTAGGTCATGGCTCCCAGCTGGATGTTTTCTTTGACTAATCCCTTGTGGCAGCAGGGGCCTGTGCCCTTGCCTGGTCTCTCCACTCTCTAGCCCACTGCAGTTGTGCTGGTTACTCCACTGCTGCAGAGGGCAGATGGGATGAGTCAGGAGGAAACATTTGGTGGTCTGCAGTGCCTGGTGTAGGTGGCTTCACTGTTCTGAGCTCTTTTCTGAACTTACTTCTGCCTGGAGTTAGTTACATGTAATCGCTGGGAGCTGTATTTAATAACTGAACATATTCCTTGCAGGGATGTGTTGAAGGAGGGTGACAACTGTTGCCATTTCTGGAGACAGTAGACTTGACTGATCCCATGTGTAAATCATGTGAAGTGTTACACACTGTATGTGGGTAAAAGTGTCCAGCTGCATGATGGCAGAGCTGCCAGCAGAGCAGTGCCATGTGCTAACTGTTGGGCCTTGGTTAATTCCTTATAAACCTGAAATTGCTGTATGATTAAATATAACTGTAATTCATCAAGCGAACAGAAAAATGTGGTGAATTTCTGCCATTCGGCATTAGCATAAAGGAAACATTTTGCCTATGGCTCTTGCCTGAGCACATCTGAGGCCATCCCTAGGCATGGCTGGGCAGAGCTCCAGGGAATTGACTACAGCTTGGTAGTCTCTGAGAACATGGGAAAATCTTGCATGACAGGGAAATTCACTGCAGCGCTGAAGAATTTCGGATCTGCCCAGGCCGCTCAGTTCCTAACAAAATAGGTATGTAGTGACATGAACTGGAAGATTACCTCATGCCCAGCAGCCTCTTTTATGATCTCCACTGGCTGGGAATTAGTGCTCTGGGCTTTCTCAGCAGTCAGGGAGGCTATAGCTCCCTACCGCTGATTCAGAAGGTAAACACTTTCTGAGTTGCACAAAGGAAAAGTAACTGTGACATAAATCTCCTTCCTCCCCAACTCTTTCCCCACCTGCGTCATGTCTGTATCTGGCTCTGACCTGATGTTAGGTCTCCCAGGCCCAGGAACATGAAAGAAACTCTGCCTTCAGATTCCCGTCTTTTGCATTCTAGTTGTTCTCAAAACAGGTGGAAGCAAGCAGGCACTGCCCGGATGAGAAAGGCTGTGAAGTACCTGCCCTGTTACTTGAAAGGTTACTTTGCAGGCTGGTAGATGCTGCACAGGGTGGTGTGCAGCAGTCCCCTTCTTGCTCTGCCCTTGTGCTGCGTGGGTACTACTGTGTTTGCATTGGCGTGGGTAAAGATGGAAATAGAAACTCTGTGGTGTGGGCTATGGTATGAGTATCAGATTTGTGCTTTGTGTCTCCCAGTGTACTGAAGTCACTGCTGTAGCCATTGCTATAATTAGCTGGGTGGGTTGGATTTAAGATAGTGCGGCACTACTTAACCATGTGCGTATCCATTCGGACACGTTGTTAAAGGTTTCTGGTCCTTGCGAATAACCACTTATCAGCAGTGACAAAGGTTGTTTTTTTTCTCTGGTGGCACAGTGTTATGGGTTGTGGTTGTACAAACCTCAGCTTCAGCACAGCCTTATTTCACAGAGGGACAGAAACTAGAGAAGGGTAAAGCTTTTAGTGTACAACTGAGAGAAATTTTAGGAGGTAATTTGTACCATGTCTGTTGTTGCTAGTTGCCCTACATCTTGCTCCCTTTACAGTGAAATATAATCCTCTAAAAGTAATTAATTCTTCCTAGTTAACAGTAACTCCCTTTCTCCTAAGTTAGGAAGACATAATTTTCCTTTAGCTAAAATGATGTCTCTCTTAGTACAATTGTTTGTGCACGGGGTTTTTTGGGTAGGTTTTGGGAATAAATATATCAGTGATTCCAGAGTTTACGTTGCCTATGGATCAGGTATTCTGCAGAACTTTGTAATTCTTCTCCTGGAACTGACAGTTGTCCTGTAGCCCTGTGTGCCAAGCAAGCTTGGCCAAGTGTGGAGCTCCCTGCCACTGTGCAGTGGGGCAGTTTGCCCTCTCCACTGGCTACTGAAAAAAGTGTGTATTTTGCTGGAGACTCCTGTCTGGAAAACCTCAAGGGCCAGTGAGGTTGCTCAGATTCAAGGACTACATGGGTTGGTTCTCAAGGGAAGAGGGGAATGGGATGGTAGGAAAAAAACCGTAGCTTTAACAGCCGCATAAACATGTTGTGAAAGAACTTTGTTCCTTAGGGCCCAGTACTGCCCATCCCTGTTAAGCTTTTGAATACCAGAATGAGGTACCGGAGTGTGCTACCCACAAACTTCATTTGTGGGATGTAAGTCATTTGCTCTAACCCAGGTTATAATTTGAATAGATGACACATGCTGGACAGCACTTTTCCTTTAGTGCTCTGGCATCATCCAAGACAACCTGTGTTTGGGTCATTGAGACTTCCTTCTGTTTGTTACCATCAAAGGAAAGAATTCATTGACTTTTAAAATTAACATTTTTTGAAGTTCAGAGGTCAAGTGATTGCTTCATCTTGGAATGCTTTTATGTCCAGGATCAAGAAGGACATAAGTAAACGAATTAAATTTTTTTTTTTTTCGCTTACTCCATGAAACAATTGAGTAAAAGACAGGTATAAACCCATTGCATTTTAGGAGATATAAAAAGGTCTAACTGAGTGGAATCAGCAGGAGAAAATACGAGTCAACATGAGTCAGCAGTGTGCCCAGGCAGCTAAAAGGGGAAACCCCATCCTTGAGGTGTGCATCAAGCACAGCATTACCAGCCGATCAAGAAAGCTGATTATGCCACTGCATGCAGTGTTGGTGCTGCCTCACCTGGAATACCGTGTGCAGTTATGGGCCCCACAGTTTAAGAAGGACGTGAAGGTTCTTGAATGCATCCAGAGGAGGGCAGAAAAGTTGGTGACAGGGCTGGAAGGCATGTCCTGTCAGGAGCAGCTCAGACTTTGGGTTTGTCTAGTTTGGCTGAGGGGCAACCTCATGGCTCACTACAGTTTCCTGAGGACGGGAAGTGGAAAGGGAGATGTGATCTCTTCTCCCTGCTATAGGAGACATAGGAATGGTTGAAAGCTGCACCGGAGAAGGGTCAGACTGGACATGAGGAAACACTTCTTTACTGAGAGAGTGCTCAAACACTGCAACAGGTTTCCTAGAGATATGATTGATGTTTGAAACCTGTCAGTGTTTAAGAGGCTTTTGGACAATGCCCTTAATAACATGCTTTACTTTTGGTGAGCCTTAAGTGATCAAGCAGTTGGACTAGATGATCATTGGAGCTCCATTCCAACTGAAATGTTCTGTTCTGTTCTCTGCTAATCTAAAATACATTACATAATTAAAATAAAAGCTGTGGCACTAATGGCTTCATAATGTAATCATATCCAGGAGCTTAATAGCTCCTTTATTTGAATTATAAAATATTTGAGGTCACATTATCTAAAATAGTCAAAGCAATAAGTAATATTAACCCCAATATATTGATATGTTGGTTACTTGTTCCCATGGTGATGTGATGCAGTGAGGTTAATTCTGGGCGCTCCTTTGCTTAAGGGTGGTAAATTCTGCGCATGGTTTTGAAAATTTCAGCCTTTGTCTGGACTGCAGAATTAATGGTAAATAATAACTCAAATGGAATAGGGGACTGAATGGGTTGTAAAAGTGTGAATGTAAAGGAGAGTGTTCAGGTGGAGAACATGGGCATTAGCCCCCACCAAACAGAGAAGTAATGTTGCTGTAGATTGGAGTTCATACTTTTACAGCCCTGCGAAACGTATCAGACACCTTCCATCAACCATGGAAGGGAAGAAGGGGTAGAGCAGATGTATCTGGTGAAGAAGCTGAGAAGTTGTGCCTATTAAAGCAGCAGCTTTCAGATACAGTAGAGGTAATGACTGGGCACAGACATGCCGCCATGCTGCTGGCTTTCTTTTGTAGCAGTGACACCACCAGGTAGGAGGTTACTTCTAGAGGGAATGGCCAGGATAAAGGCAGTTTTTTGCTGTTTTGCCTTCTGCAGTATTTTGTAATTTAAAGTATTTTCCTTTTTTTTATTCGTTCTAGAAAAGTTGTCAGTCTTGATAAAAATAACTACAGAAATTAGTTACTAAACTGCAGAGGTGATTAGTAGAAAATATGCTGGGTTTCTCTTACATGTGATGGAGTTGCAGAATCAACTTCTTAGCAGAAGCAGAGGGCAGTGGTACCTGAGAGGGAAGTGATTCTCAAGGACAACAGTGCCAAACCATATCCTCCTTGTTCAGGTAGCTCCCAGCTGGGACACTGTTGGTACCTTCAGAACATTATGTAAGTGGAGCACTGCATTTTAGTTTTTCTGGGCTGTTCTGCTCTGACTGGTTTTTTTAGGAGATTTGTGATGGTAGTGATTGTTAGGGAGTTGTCGAATCTGGTAGCTTCATGGTTGGGGGATAGTGTCTCTGACTAGGTTATTGGGGTTTCCCCCTGCTGGTGTGCCTCTGGGCTTGTGGTGATGCGTTTGTGATGGGCTGAGTGCTCCCTTGGCACCTCTGCTGTCTTTCCTTTGTGCTCCTTCACATGTCTGTGGAGATGAGCTGCTTATCCTGTGATCTAATAGTGGCCAGCTGTGGCCCTAAGAGGACTTGGGAGGAATAACTGCGAGGAATGGGATGTTCGGTGAAGTATAAGCACAGTATGTCAATACTGACTAATGCAGCAGTTGCTCCAGGCTATATATTTTTTAGGTTCATGTCAAGACAATGTTTGGCAGCAATTAGTGGGCCGATAAAGGTGTTTATGCTGGCCAGGCAGTCACAGCCATTGCGTGTATGGTGTCTGGATGGTCCATGTGCCCTGAGCTCCAGAGCTGCATGAAGGGAATTCATTTGTCCAACAGGTATTATGGACAGTGAAGTGGGGAGGAGCACTGCTCATGCAAGATAATGTTGATGTTTTGGTAAGTTTCTGTTAATTAATCTTACAGATTTCTGACAGTGTGATATTTCTTCTTTTTTTATTCAGATTCCTTTGGGACTCTTGTTCTTCCAGTAGTAAGTATTTCTTTCCCTTCCTTCTTCCTCAGAAAATGTTGACTCTCTGTAAATTACCATCAGTTGGTGTTGATGAGATGATATATTTTGCATGTGAGCCCAGCTATTTTCACAGTCTCAGATGAGTGTATTTACTGACCAATAAGCCAAGGAGTTTTCAGGTCAAATGCTCTACTGCTTGTTAGAAGTAATTATAGGATCTAGGAGCTGATTTCCAGTATCAACAGGAACTATCATAAAACTTGAACACAGAAATTTGCTTGGCTTTTTTGACTGGCTGATACCTACATCAATATTTTAGACACACCATGAGGGCTAATTAGAGCTGAAAGAATTGTGCAAAGTAATAACTGAGAAACATTAAAATAAAAATATTTATATACAGTCTTTGTAAGGATTTGGAAATGCACATTCGATGAAAAGTACATAATAAGCAACGAAATTGTATCTTGGATTGTGAGTCATGTATGAATCCCAAATTTATAATCCTGGATGTTCATCTTGAAAACCCAATCTAGAGAACTGGGTATTTATATCAGAAAAAAAAGATTTGCCAATGTCATCCATAAGTCTGAGTATCCCTAAATCCAGTGGGTTTAAATTCTGATCTCAAATAAACTGTAGGTCTGATTAAATAATCTGGAAATGTTTGATAGATGGATAATCAATGATAGTGAGCAGCTCAATATTATGAAGATTACTAGGTTGAAATACATCTGAATGAACTATACTTTAGCAAACATAGAAAAATATGTTTATAGAAAAAGAGGAAAAAAATGAAATTAACAGGTTCCTTAATAAAATCTGGCCAGGTCTTAAAGTGTTCAAGCACCTAAAATTAGGCGGAGTAGATTCCTCCCTCTCTCGTCGCTATCTGAAATGTCTCATTTTTTAATAGCAAGATTTTTTTTCATTTGTGTAGCCACAGTAGACTTATGTTTTGTCCAAAGTGTAATTTGCTAGCAGAAGGTGGGTAATGAGTTTTTGGATTCAGCCTCATCTTTTCCAGAGGAAACAGTAGCTGCCTTGTCTGAGGTGTTTGTGATGGTAGCTGGTGTAGTCAGGAGAAGTACGTGAGGTGGCCCTTTTCTCTCTTGTGTTAGGAGTGCCAAAAGGGGGATAGTAATACCATTCATTTGGTGATGTTTTGACTAAGATAAAATATTTTCACAGCAAGTTTCTACTACTTAGTGTTAAAAGCTGCCTTGATCATATTTGGGTTGAGAAACAACCCTTTAGAGAAGGGTTGGTGGGGCTGAGGTAGTTACTATTATTGTAGCAATGACCTTCTGCAAGTGTTGTATTAGTGCAGTTTCTGTTAGCACAGATGTGTGAAGCAGAAGGTGGGTTAGTTGCACCTCAGCTGTCCTGATACACTGCCACGGCAATGTAAACTTCGTTGTCTCTGACAGTTACATTAAGAAAGGTACAACAGGCAATTTCGTTACCATGTTATGGGAAGGAAAGATTTTTTAAAATATAAAAAGTATAAAAATCTAGGGAGCAACCCATGCTATCTATCATTATTCATGATAGGAAAGAGGTACAGGAAAATATATGAGGTCTCTGAATGGCATTTACAGACTTTTAAAGAAGTCAAAAACAGTATTTGCAAGCATGTTAAAATAATGCTGTAAGAGCACAATTTACTGCTATGATGAGCCAAAGCAAGCTTATTTTCTCCCATTTTGATTTTGAATGGTTATAATGTGTCATGGACTTCTTGTAGGGAATTCTATCTGCTTTTTTGAGAATACAGCTTCTTTAATAAATAGCAATGTTCATAAATACATTAGTTTTGAGGTAATATTTGACAGATGCAGTAGGTAAGGCTGTTCCTCCTATTTAAGATATTGCAGAATACTTGGCCTGGAATTTGGAGTGTGTTGAAATATGTGAATCATATGTTCTTGGCAATGTGTGCACAAAAAACCTGCAAAGCTGAAGAAAATGCAGGATCTATTTCGCTGTGTAACTTTGCACATAAAATTTAGTTACATAAATCCAGATTTTAAAGGGGGAATATCTTCTTCCTGTGTCATCATGTGCCTGTTCATGGGTAAAAACAGCCTGTTTATTTTTCCCCTTCCTGATTTTTTTCCTGGCTTGTTTTTAAAAACAGAAAGTCAACAGAAAGGGATGGAATTATAGTTGATTCCTCTTTACAGGTAAATACAAAGAGAAGAAAATGTATTTGATACAGATGTTTGCATCTACCTCATTTGCCACCCTGTGACATTTTCCCTTGTTTGTGAATTCCTGTTACCTCACTGTGCACTGTTAAAACAAACTTTGACAGCACTACAGCTTTTCTTTATAGGACTTGGTAGAATACTTCTGATGTGATGTGCCTGGTGAGTTTACAGCTGTAATTTTCATTACACTGTAGAAGCACTGCTTCAGTTCCATATGTTATGCTGAAAAATGCAAGCCTGTCTGCTTTAGTTCTGTTAACTCCAGAGGTTTTACTTCAGATTTACTGTTGTAATTCCAAGCAGAAGCATGTGACTCTTTAAGCTTTTCAGCAGGGCTGCTTCTTGGAATGAGCTGTGTGCTGTGTTAAAACCATTTTCCTTCTTCAAAGAGACACTGGCAATACAGAAGCCAGCACCTGGTCTGGAATGTCCCTGGGGTCATTGGTTGTCTGTGAAGACTCTGCTCAGATGAAATTTCCGTGTGCTGCAGCATCTCTGCTTCCAGTCTTTCAATCCCTGTGACTGGGATTCCTCTCAGCTAACTTCAGGATGTGAAGTTACACACCTGAATTATGAGCTCTAGATTTCCTCTGTCCACTGGAAAGACACAGAGAGAGAGGGAGAAACACGTACATGATTACTCTAATCTTACATGGTATAAATTTCTTTGCCAGTGATATCTGTCTCTTTTCTGCCAGCACTGAAGGAGCCTTGAGTGTCTATCCCAAATAAGTTAACCATATAAAATGACTCTTCCTTTATTTCTTAATATTTTGGGAAGAATAATTATTTTTCTTTCTAGATGAGTCACAGTGTGTGCTATAATTTTGAAACATTAAACTGAAATGAGACAAATATTTCTATTGAAAAGCAGTACCTCACCTTATAAGATACTCTGTATTTGAGTTTCCTACCCCATAGAACATAAAGCTAAAGATTGTAAAAAAAAAGTGCAAAGTTCTCTTACTGTCCTGCTCATTTTGCTCACACGTACCTTCTTCAGATCTTTTATTTTTAGAAAATTTGTTACAAAAAAGTGATGAATTCAGAAAAATATTAGCCCCTTATATCAAATCCAAGAAATTTCTCAATAACTGTGAAAAGAAAAGAAAGAGCACAATGTGTGTGAGTCTATGAATTGTATGAGAATACATGGATACTTACATTGTTGAAAACATGATTACTACTGAAAATTAGATGCAAATCTGTTGAAAAGATGCCTCTGATGACACATTTTCAGGTAATTGTTGAAATAACACTTTAAAGTCCTGAAAAAAATCCCCTTTCACTTTTTGAGAATTGACATAAGTTGACAAGTTCAGGTATGTATTAGATCTTTATATCAAATGTTTTTTAAATAATAATATCTTCAAGAATATTTTTGATGGTTAACGGAAAGTCACTATTTTATTTTAAGCTGCCTTTGAACAGTGCTTCTGGGAATTATGAATTACTGGTGGAAGGCCGTGCTGATGGCCGGCACATCTTCTCTAACCGTACCAGCTTGATGTACATGTCAAAGAGCATCTCCGTATTCATCCAGACTGATAAATCTATGTACAAACCAGGACAAGATGTGCTGTTTCGGGTTGTTACTGTGTATCCTGATCTAAAACCTTACAAAGTGCCTCTGAATATATATATCAGAGTAAGTATCCACGGGAATACAGTTATAAATTGGCCTGTGTAATATGTTCCAAATTTATGTGACAAATAAAGATGATATTTATTGCTACTTAAATCTTGCTAGCAGGACCACTTGCATTTACAACGTAGCTTGACTTTTTTCCTAGGACCCTCGGAAGAAGTTGATTCAGCAGTGGTTGATGGAGGAAGGTGATTTGGGTGTACTTTCCAAAAAATTTCAGTTATCAATGAACCCTCCCCTAGGAGACTGGTCCATAGAGGTGGAAGTGAACGTGAGTATTAACATTGCGAAGTCACAGAGATATTTATTTCTTTTGGTAGATGTGAATAAAATTGTGTTTACTTTGCTGAAACCAGTTACTAACATGGACCATGAGATGCAGAAATCCTTCCCTTATGACAAATATCATGCAAGATGCTATGCAAAGATATTATGCAAACCTCACAATATTTTGAGTAGTGTATGGTTTTGTAAGGAAGGATACAAAAACCCCCAAACATGTTTTATCCCAAAGTCTGTGTTTTGATTATAAAATAAAAATGCTATTAAAAACATGAGGGGGTTTTAATATTAACATGCAAGAAAGACCTTATGGAGAACTGTGTGAGGAGTTTTTTTGGGGGTTGTATTTTTTTTTTTAACTGAAATCCTCTTATGTTTATTTTGCAAGCAAATACACAGAAATTCAGGGGTGTTTCATCAATTTGCAATGACTAATGAGTTACTGAGGAAAAAATAACTATGTGAAATAGAAAGGATGTCTAGTAATGCACAACTATTCCAGTAAAAAAAAATGGAACAATCTGCATTGCATTTTGCTATTGGTAGTAGTTCTCTCAGTTCAGTCCTTTAAGCTGTATACTCCTCATAGACCATGGAAAATGTTGCAAAAATAGCCAGAGATTTAGCTGTTCAAAACTCTGTGTGTCAAGTTTATTCAGTCTGCTTTTAAATGCTGTAATTTGGGAACTGCATTTCCGACTTGGCTTGCAGTGGCTGTTCAGGGACATTTAGCAAGTACAAACAGGACTGCTTAATGTTCCATAATGAAGGAGATGATGGGGTAGAAAGCAGAAAAACTCATGTGATCATTTATTACTTGGGAGTAATGTTTACCAGTACCGGTTATATACTTGATAGATTTCTATAGGCTGAAGTATGTGAGGGTGGTGCTCAAGTAAGTGTCAGGACTGGATTTTTCAAAAGTGTTCTCATGTGGGTGTGGAGTTGTTGCTGTTGTCTGTGATGGGAAAAATGTATTAAGTTGTTCCTGCCCTAATCTGTGTACTCTGCCACCCCTTCTCATCCCCAGACTTCAGTAGCTTCTCAGTCATGCTGAGGCAGCTGTAATCAGGATGGGATCTAAAGTACGATGGGGAAGTGACCACATTGAAAAGCATCTCTGTGTTTTTCTTTGCCTAGACCAAATTGGTTCACTGCTCTGGTTGACAACCATCCCCACTCACAGCTACATAGGTGCTTTTCAGCTGGTGGGGAAGTGTGGCTCAGACATGGGAACAAAGCCTGGTGAGAGTGGTGGGCTACTTGCCAGGTGAAAGGGTGTTTATGAAATGTTTCTTGGGCTTTCTGCAGAGACTTGAGTAATCCTGAAGTCAGGAGATCATTGATGAAGGAACTGCAGCAGCTGTTTTCAGGATCTGAATGAGTGCTGTACCGTCCTGAAACAAAAACAGAAAGAAAAAAAATGAAGTTGTAAAGTTGAAAGAAAAATGCCTTATAGATTCAACTCGGCTAGTGAAACAGCTGTGAGAAAAGACAAGTGAAGTGAAATCTTAGTAGACGATAGTTGATGGTATTCTAAATTTTAGCCATTTAGTACTATTACAGAGGTTAATGATCCTGGAAAACATATGTCAGGGTGGGAATGTCTCTCAAGTCATGAGGAAGAAGGAGAGAGTAAATAGGGAACGTTTTGTTCGCAGTCTCTTTCAACACATAGCTCAAGGGCATCAGGTAAAGGAGGTAAAGAGCGATTTCAAAATAACTAAAACAGCATAACTGAACTGCAGAACACAGTGGATATTGTGAATACTGAGAATTCAAGTGGGATTGAAAAATGTCTGGACACATTCATAGTACACTCCTTTGATAGCTAGAAACCCCTGAGGTGTCAGGTCAAGACAGAGTGTCACTGCTGGCTATCCTCATTGATGCAGTTGGCTGCCTAGGTGTTGAACCTTGCTGCAAAAGACTGGACATTGGCTCTCATATTAGATCTATCAGGCTACAACCTTTCCTAGGTTGTCTGTATCATATTTTCATCTAATTTTCCCTGCTATTAAATTTTTAAAATTTAGGGTTTTAACATAAGAGTTTTGGGGTACTTAATAGAGCTCTACATGCTTCAGCAACAGGAAGAATATCCAGGGTCATGGATAATGCTCATCACTCTAGGATGTCTTTCTCTGTTCACCACTGTTATAGAAAACAATTCAAGGTGAAAGTCCTGCAAAGTGTTTTTGGTACATATATTAAAGTGGTCTTTTGGGAAAATACAATCTTGGGCAGAACAGAAGTGGAATTCTTTTTTTTCATTGACAGAGGATATGAATAATACTTAAGAAACACTGTGTTTAATAAGTGGGGGGAAAAAACGGAACTAGCAGATAGCTATCAGTATAAATGAAAGTCTGAACTCTTGCATGTATTTAGGAAATGTAAAGATCTCAAGGAAAACTTAATGGTTAATAATAAAAGTATGAAAGAGTTTTTAAAGCTTGTTAGAAACAAAAGGAATTCCAGCAGTCGCATAGCCTGGTAACATGAGGAAACAGTAACTGTGTGGCAAAGGGGAAAACTTTTAATAGGGATGATGGTTTTTAGTAGTTAAGTGAGTCTCACTGTGGGCAGTTTTGAAAAGACCATCAGAAGATGAACATTCTTAACAGAAAAGAGTGAGGTAACATGAAAAACTATAGACTTGTCATGTGGTATGAAAAAAACAATGACAAAGGTGACTTGGGATTCCATTGATTAAAAATTACATTATTTAAGGCTCATATGGAATTGGTTAATAAGGTAGATTTAATGATTTCTGAAAAGGCTTTTCACTGTACGAAGTCTTAATGAAAAACAGTGGTGTGTATACAGTCTGTCAAAGACGGATGGATTGATTTTTGTGCAATTGACAATCACCCAAGGTGTTTCCAATATAAACTGATGCTCTCCCTGGAGCCAGGGAAGACAGCTCCATGGTAGGAGAGACTGCAGAAGTCTGCTCTGTTGACTGTATATCAGAGGATCAAATGAATCAACAGATTTATTGATTACAGTCTGAGAGTGCTGTTACGGGTTTTAAAGGCTTTTTAATCTAGTGGAGAAAGGCATAATATGAACCAACTAATAGAAATTGAAGCCAGACAAATTCTCTTTGGCATATATATGTCTTTCATTGATAAAGTGCTTATTCACTGGAACAAACGAAAAAGTGGGAGTGAGCGTTTTTCTGTTACTTGATGCATCTTTGTGTAAGATGCATTTTAAATGCAGATTGCCAGAGTAGCTGAATACAAAGGAACTAAACCTGGGATAAAAAAAAACCAGGCTAAATGGTTCCTTTAGACACCAAACTCTTTGAATTGAAAATTAAAATAGAGAAGAAAAAGAAGAGTATATTATAATAAAAAAAAGAAAAAGAAATTTTAGACTTTGGGGTACAGAAAAACATGGCTATCCTTACAGTGCTTATCCTTTGAGACCATTTTTGTTCATACCTTCTCTGCTTTAATTTTCAAATTCAATGTTGAATATAATGACAAAACAATATGCATTATTTCTGTAGCATGTGCCTACACAGTATCTTAAGCTGGATAAGGCTGTCATATACTAAATACATTAAGTGACTATTTCAATATTCACACTATTACGTTAGGTCTGCTTACTGTGTTGTCTCACAGACTGGTTTTTTCCTGATAGCACAACAACCATGAAACCTGAAAGAAACTTTGCAGAATAAAGGAAAAGAACTTTTCTGATGGGAAACTCTACTTGGTTCTCTTGGTTACTATGCCCTGAAATACAAGATCATATGGGATGGGATTCAGTTTGAGGTTTAAGCTGTGTGGATGTCTCTATGGTGGTGATGTGGTAAAGATTTAATTGATGTTTAGTGAAAGCTAGTGCATGACTTGATCACTCCTAGTGGATATTTCTGGCTATTGTCTGGATATTCCTTGCTGTTCTACAACAATTTGGCTGTCAGAGGAAGGTACAGTTTTCTACAGTGCTATATATAAAGTTGCATTATATATATATATATTCACCAATCTCTTTCTGATAACAGAGATCACTGAGAAATTGGATTTACTGCTAAGGAATACTTAGTATGTGTCTGGAGTTTTTAATAGATTGTCTACCTATCTGTAACTAGTACTGCTAGCTCTGAGTCTGCATGGCACTCAGTGCAGCTTATGGATATATTCAGGGCTTTAGAAACATCTTCAGATGGCAAAGCCAGACTGATCTCTGTAGGACTTATTATCTTGATGCCATGACCTGAACTTTCTAGCTAAATAGCCAGCTGTCCAGCCTTTCTTTCTCGGATTCCTCTCTTGTCTTTTAAGAGTGTTGTTAAGTGAGTAACATTTCCCTTCTAGTGGTTACACATCAGTTTCCAAGCGTACTGAGTTTTGATTCTTGGAAGTGTTGCCTCTGAATACTGTTTTAAATCAGATTTTGGCTGCTTGCTGCCGTTAAACATCCTGTAGTACTTTTTTATTTCAATAAGAGTTCAGGTGTTAGTACAGCTGTTCCAGGAAAACTCAAGACAAGAGTAATTACAGTCTGGTTCCCAAGTCTCCACCTTGTATTTTAGTTGGACATCTTATATTTCCTGTTATGGAGCCTTTCTCTGAAAGGTTTTTAGTTGCTGGGTTTTAGTAGCATGCACCTCCAACCAGAAGTTGTTGCTAGTTAAATGGCATTTTGTAATCTAATTTATGGAAGTTGTTATTTATAAATTTATGATGAAATATTGAAGAGTAGTAATGTTTCAGGTGCAATGAGGGCTTTCTAAAACATTTTTAGAGTTCAGCTTAAAATATTTAAAGCTTCAGCTATTAAGCAACATTCAAAATTAACTGGGAATGATTATATACTTTACACTTTGAATATTTTGACTTTTGATGTTTTATGTCTGTTACAGTGTATCCACTATGAATTCTGTTATTTTTTACTGCTAGGTCAGTAACAGATTTCACAACTGATCCATCAAGTTTGATGTTCTGTATAGAATTGCTTAAAAAAAGTGTCACCTTCCTTCCAAATCAGGCTGTACATAAAACCTTTGGCATTGGCTGTGGTGTATTCAGTAGTTTACAAATGCACACTGATTCAATCAGGATCTGATAGTGTGAATACTGGTGACACTGGAGACTGTGATGTTGGATTTGAACAGAATTTTATTTTGGGGTTTGTTTCCTACATCTGAGAATAAAACATGGAAGTGATCACAGAATGCTTCTGTTACTTCTGTCTAGACAGAAATTTGTTTTATTTAGCTGCAAAGCCAGAGTGAAGGAGTGCTCCTAACATGGCCTGTGAGATGATGGGGTAGCCTCTGGAATGCAGCTGGTGCTAGCACTTATCTTTTCCAGGGCCCTTGAACCACACCCAGAGTCTTTCCCGGTGCTCTAACTTGTGATGCACCTCAATGTCAGAAACAAATAAGGAAATGGACCCAGGAGAGATTCATTTCAGGGACTTTTGGTTGCCAAAGAAGAAAAAATCTGCAGGGAACGGTTTGTGTGACCTCACTTGTTGGATCAGACCCCAATCACTTAAAACAGGACTGGTTCATCACAACAGAGCAAAATCTGGACTGTAGTTGTTAAGGATTCTTAGATGTCAGGATCCACAGCACCTAAGGCTGCAGAAAGGCTCCATCATCCTCACTATCCCACAATACTTATATGGATCTCTTTTTGGTACTATTTTCTTACTCTGGCTAATGGGCACAGAGTGCAATAGGTGTTTTGCAGTTTAGGAAATGATGACAGCGCAAAATGTTATTAGTCTGGAAGGGTGAGTATGTTTAAGAAGCAAGAGAAGGCATGGAAGGCAAAACCTGTACTAGAATAAAGCAGCTTTGGAAACAAGTGGAATAGGCATGGTGGTGTTTTTCTACCTTAAAAAAACATGCTTAAAATCTCTTTTGGGTGGTATATAAAACTAACTGCTTGCCTCAAAAGCCACTATTCTTGGAAACTGGTTTAGCAACTTCCCATTCAATATATTTGAACAATATTTGCAGAGAGACAGCCCTGCCCCGATGAACTAAAGTGATAAAGTGGTTGAAATGATGTTACTTGTCTTGCTCCAAACTAGCTGGCTGAAAAGTGTGTTAGTGGCTTGGCATTCAGATCATCAAGATGACTAGTAGGGTCTTTTCCTTTCCCTGAACTGTGAAGCATGATTTCTGTCACAAAGCTTGTCATTTTAGAGAAGGTACAGATAGGAGTGCTAGTCTCACTGTGATCTCTGTTTTCTACTACTTAAGAATTCTCCTAGTTTTTAGTTGTTTGTTTGGTTGTTGTTGTTGTTGTTTTACTTTAAGATAATGTGAAAAAAAATTTCATTTTCAAGGGAGATGCTTTTTCATCCTGCCGTCTAAGGTAATGTTCTGGTCATTGCTTAATTGGTAAGAGTGACATATATACCTAACATTGGAAATAAAAGATATACAGAGAACAAGATGTGAGATAAATTTGCTACAGATCATTTTCCTAAGATACATATTCCTAAGACTACCTTATAGTAATCTGATTGTGGACTGCATGTCAATGCTGTAGCATTTCTAAGTGTTGTGATTTGCACAAATGTTGTGAAAATAGCGGATTCTGCATATATATTTTCAAACCCAGGAATATTAATATGGCATTTATTTTTGGTGATCAGTGACTTAATCATGGAATTGGCAGCAATCTGATTTTTACTTTGATAGAAGTATTTTGGTAGGAAAATTGTAAATAGAGATGTATAAACAGCTTGGTCTAAAATGCTAAAAAATTAAGAAAATTGCTAAAAATCAAGCAGTTTGGAAAGTCATTGATCAGGTTTCCAGCTAAGGTCCTGGTCCTACTGTTTTTAGCACAACAGCTCTCTTGCCACAGACACTTGTTCCTGTCTGACATATCTTGATGCCACCTGGCAATTGGTTATTCCCTTCTGAGGAAAATCAGGAAATAAGTGAAAAAAAAATAGAAAAATAGGAAAATAGAACGCAATAACAATGTATTATATAGTTTTTTGGTTGGTTTTTTTTTTCCCCATTGATTTTAACTAACAAATAAATAAGACAGGAAGATACAACACAAAATATCTCCACCAAAGTATGTCTTTTGAGTAAATGTGGAACTATAAGATTAACATGCTTTTGAAATGGTCTTGTCCACTAGATACACACTGTAGGAGCTTCTCATTTGTAGAAGTTATTTTTAAATGAGCTAGTAAAGATACTGCTGGTAGGTCGGTCATGGTTTATCCTGATGACTGTGGCTGCTTGTGCTAGGTAATTTTATGTTAGCTGGCTCAGGTATTCTGGCTTTTTATACAGAAATCAGCCATATGTAGATGCCTGCAGATTGAAAACTCCACAAGCTTTTCATTTTATATACCTACAATCTGCTTCATGTGAATTCTGTGTCCTTCTCTTGTGCAAATACATACTACTGGTTCCTACAGGAGCTGATAGTGGTTGAACCATGATTTAAAATCACACCAAGTCAGAAATTGTAGTTTAACTTGAATATGGGTGGGATTTGGCCAAGAAGGTATGTTAAACTTACTAATCTAATTATGATTTTCTCATATGAATTTTTTCAATAGGGTCAAGTTCATTATCAAAGATTTAAAGTGATGGAATATGGTAAGTGTTATTTAAGGGCATTTAGTAGTGACCAAAATTGTTAGTGATTCTCCATTAATTTATACTAGCTTAACTTGGCTAGCAGGAACCCTTTACTCACAGAAAGTTTAATTTCCAAATGTCTTGCTTTTCTGAGACTGACAAAAAAATGCTATCTTATCAGCTCCCTGTTTATATTTGATAATTTTAATGACCTTCTACTGTAGCGTCTGGATGTCATGCAGTCTTAAAAATGCTTATCTTAAGCCTGTGGGATGCAGTTATTGTCCATGTTTTTCCAGGATCATGTAGACAATGTGTTCATCCCAAAATATCTGTATAATATCTGATTGTGGAGCTTGCTGATGATTCTGTAAAGACTGAGTAAACTAAAAGTTTTGTATTTCAGTTTTACAAGCTTATATGCAGGCGGCTTTTATGATGCTTGTTCTCTTTTTAACAAAAAGTCTTAGCCTGGGGCATGCATAGGGCTGGGTTAAAAATATATCTTACCTTATAATCCTTAGGAAACTATAGTAGTAGTCTTTATCAAATTACATGTTCTACCCTTATTACTTAAAAAAACCTAATATTCCTTCTGTGAATTTAACACTTTTTGGTTTTGTTTTTTTTTTCTTCAGTTTTACCAAAATTTGATGTCATGATAACAACACCATTATACTACTCTCTGAGAGATGAAGATGTAACTGGTGTTGTCACTGCGAAGTAAGTAAATCATCGATACTGTTGTAACGCTTACTCTTAAGAAAATTATTGTGGGTCTCTAAGTGTCAAAGTAAAAGCTTATATTTAGAATGCTAAAAAAGCCCTTTCTACTCAAAATTAGTTGGCTAACATCCATTTCTAGTTACTGGATTTTGTTGTGTAACAAGGTTCGATAGATCTTCAGACTTTTAGTAAGTTCTTCTGATCTGGTAAACATACTTCTGGACTACAGCCTACACATTTGCAGCTACTTTATTTTAAATTTTTTTTTAAGTTTTCTGGTTATAATGTATATTTTGAGGCTTTTTTCTTTTGTCCTTATGGTTCTTTTATGGTCTCTCCAACTTAACATGTCAAGGTCTGTAGGTAGAGTAACTATATTTTATTAGACTACTTGGAAAATTAGGCAAACTTCTATGAACATCCTTCTTGGTCCAATATATCAACGTTGTGGATTTCAAGTATAGGTTTCTCCTACCTATCAAAATACCTATACCTGTAAATGGGTGAAGAATTAAAAGCTCTTGAGAAATTCAGGAGAGGATTCAGTGAAGACTATTGTATAAATAATATTTTATTTTTTAATTTGAGCAAATATCTAGAGAAAATTTTAGTATGCAATAGTCTCAAATAGAAATTAGTTTTATTTTTGGAAGATGAGAACCAGGTGGAGGTACCTGACAGATCCACCCAAGAAGACTGGAAATAAAGGTCTTTCATGGGTTATTTAATGGCATAGAATACGTACCTTCTAAACAAGCACTATTGATAAGTGAAATGCAGAAATGATTGTTTAACAAGCTATTTAGGTGGAAGGTTTGGACTTCAAGAAAAAACTTCCATCCCTAGAGCCAATACCATGTGATATTATAAACCATCTGATAAAACAAACTATAAAGGCAGGATTGACAACGGGCCCTGAGCAACCTGATCTAGTGGGTGGCAAAAACTTGCTTCCAGTTAATATAGTTAATTTTTCTACATTGAACAGCCCATAGTGATTGTAATAGGTTTATAGAGCTTGTGTGAAGGTTTTGGACTTCCAGCTTTAGTGTTGATAAACTGGTCTCAGTATTGCAAACCCACGTTTCAAAGAAGAAATGTGTTCTAGCCATGTTTGGGACCAGGGAAAATTATTTTGGTAGAATCTTTTGCTTTGAGAGCTCTTCAGGTGTATTGTTTCTCCTTGACTGGTGTGTTTCAGGTACACGTATGGAAAGCCAGTAAAAGGAACTGTAACAGTCACATGCCTTTCTGTCTCTTACTGGACAAACAAGAGAAATATAACAATAACAATGGAGGTGAGTTGTCCTTAGCAGTTTCTTTAAGCCTGTGTTCTTTTGTGGGTTAAATAATGCCTGGAACCATTTGGGGATGCTGAGTTCAGCTGGCATGGTCTGTGTAGTGACTTGCATGGAGAGTGTTAAACTCTCTTCAGTTTCCAGCCTGAAGTGTCAGTGTCCGTTCAGACTGCTTTTTGGGAATGATACTTGGCATCTATGGTCGTTTGACCTGTGCCTGGAAGTTATTTTGGAGAGCGCTAGTTGGCCTAGGTAGAAAAATTTTCTGGGAGCTACTGTAGCACCATTGGTGCTGGAGGACACAGGCCCAGAAGTGCTCCCTGACCCTATGTCTACCCCTTCACACTCAGCCCTGTGTTACAAGGCCAGAGGAGAACACGTCAATTGTCTAGGTGGAGCTCCAGCATGGTGGAAACCAAAGCATTTTGCCTAATAATTGCCTAGTAATGACATTTGATCTACTGCACTAATTAAAAAATTTAAAAGGACATACAGTTTCAAACTGAAGACCTAAAAGAGGTGATAGGTTCTTTGCATTCTTTTTGCAAAATCAGACATTTTACTTTTGAGATATGAACTGTGTTTAAAAAAAAGTTAAATTTCTGCTGCATGGTATGCCTGTCACTTTCTGTTTGCTGACTTCAGCAGCTATCTAACTTCAGTGCCTTCAGCAGCACTTAGTCTACAGAAGCTCTGAGCTCAGTGATGTTCAATAGGTTATACCCACCTTGTTGGGTACGTGTACCTACGTGTTCATTGTATTTTTCTATAAAGCATAGGTGCCACTGCTCTAGCTATGTAGAAATGGATAATGCTAGACATTGGGAAAAAAAATAAGTAACTTTCTCCATAAAGTGTTGTTGCCTCTAAAAAGGTAGTGAGCTTTACTGGATTTAATAAAAATTGATGTTGAAAGCGAAAGATAAAGATCAGCATTGATGATTTTCTGGTGTTGACAAAACCTTTATGTGAGGAGAGCTACAGAACTTAACCAGAAATAAGTGGTTGTAGATGGAAAGGTGTCCTTGGCTTTTCTGGCTCAACAATTATTTTTTTCTACATTGTAGATAAACGGATCTGTGAATGTAACCTGTAACAAACTTATGTTGCAAAACTTGAATGCTGAGCATTCGTGGCACCAAGGTGATAGTGATTACACAGAGCCAATAGAAATGATCGCGGTGGTCACTGAGTCACTCACAGGTATGTGGATGTGTGATGTCTGAGAGAAAGCCGGAGTAGGTGGTGCTGAAAGAGCTTACTGCTGTGTGGAAGAGCTTGGAGTGCTAGGAAAGCATCATGGGCTGATTTCAGCACAAACCGTCCACGTGCAAATGTATCATCTGAACTGTTGCTTGCCTAGATATTAAATAGTTTAACCAGCTGTTAATTTGGTTGAATGGAGTTTTATATTAAATGATTTATTAAATAATCAAGAAATATGTTCAGATGGGAACTTAAAGTCAATGACTGATCACTTTTGATGAGAACAGGCATAAAGAATTGCTAGCATTAGCCTGAATCTTACAAATTTAAGCTGAACCATAAACTTACCTTACTTGTGTGTTTGTAAATCGCATTAGTTGATTCTCTGGCCCCATGTTGTCCCCCTGTCTAGCCTCTTCTAGACCCACTGATTTGCAAACTAAGGTTTTTTTGTGAGTTTGTGTTCCGCTGCACTTGCGTATTAGAAAAAAAGCCATTTGTACAAAATTTCTGCCAGTCCTAGAAACTAGCTTTCATTACAGACTTTCTGTAGAAACCCTGTCAAGGTGAAGTTGGTTGATTTGGGATTAATAAGTTCCTTCCTTGTGTCATTCTGGAGTGGAGCCCTGCGTGTGGTACATCTTATTTAGCGTTGTGGGAGGCAGTACCAGTGCATGTACCACCTTTGTACTGATGCGTAACCGGAAGGATGAAGAGCGAGAGGAGTGGAAATGATGAAAAATATGATTGAATTATTTATGAATCTTGGACAGTAAATTTTATTGCTGCTAAAGTAATGTGTATGTTAAATGCATATTGTCTAAACATATACAATTATTCAACAGGAATTTCCCAAAATTCAAGTACCATCATATTTCCGAAGCAAAGTGATTATTTTATTGAATTTCTGGACTACTCTAGAGTTATAAAACCTTCTCTGAACTTCATAGCTACTGTAAGTTCTTTTCTTTTATTATAATCTGTGCATAAACAAATATGACATCTCCTGTATTTTTGCTTAGATGACAAAGTTTGCCTTGGATTTTTAAGCATAATTTACAGATTCGTTTTCAAATTACCTATTTTTCATGACACGTATCAGCAAATACTAAACTTAAAGGCATTTGCTCTAGAAAAGTATAAATTGGCAGGGAATGCTGTGGTATTGGCAGGATATATTTGAGTATAGTTTGTTGACATTCTTATAGAAGAGAAATTTTTTGTTTCTAGCTGATTCTTTTCTGTTCAGTGACTGTGCTTTAAAACAACAAAGTAGTTATTGAGTTCCAATCCTCCTAATAGTATTTGCATATCTAAGTGTATATATATATATATATACAAATATATACTTTATATAATACATATATATATATGCAAGCTGCTGTTACAAAATTCAGTGAAACTCATTAAACCACATTGCTCTCAAGTGAAAGTGTTGGTTTTGCCTTCTGTCCTATCTTTCTCATACCAGTTGCAGTCCACTCAAAGAAGTATTAATTGTTCTTCATGCTGTTCATAGTTTGCGTTTGGTATTTCTACATTTTACAGAGGTTGCATATTGCACCACTGCATTTTGCTTGAAAAGGGGAATCAACTTTACAATTCCTGAGCCTTTACTATATAGACCTAAATACCAGTAAAATTGGCTGAATATACACTTTCAGAGTAGCTTGGCTCAAGCTATAGCTTCATGCTAGCCTGATCATTTGGGCTTTGTTTTTTTGTCCATTTTATTTTCCTTGCCAGCATTCCATTTTGACTCCAGCTCTGACCTGTTTTTTCCTCCTCTCCTAAAGATGAGCTGAGTGAGAAGTAGCTGAGACATTTAGCAATGCTTACAGCTGGCAGAGAGGAAGGTATCAGTTATGATCCCAGAGGAGCATGAAGGAACAACTGCTGCTGTTACTAAAAAGCAGAGATCTGCATATCTGTGCAGAGAGAGAGCATAAGAAAATAATGATGGGGAGGAGAGGTAATGCAGTGGCAGATTTATGGATTGAAAAAGAAAAGAGAAGCATTAGTTCAGTGCTTTTAGATACAGACATTGATTTTTTTGGAGTATATAATGCAGAATGAGAATGTTTTTAGAGTGGATGAGAATCTGCTTGTGTGTGGGGATAAAGGTTGATGTAAATTGTAAGAAGTTGCAGACTGTCAATTTTGGGCCTAGTTTCAGTCTTTTCCTCAACTCACTTGATGAATCCATAAACACATCTGACTCAGCACCATCCCTGCTCATCCAGCTCATTTTCCTGCACATGATGTAAGGCTGTCCTTTCTTGTGGTGGTGAAATACAAGTGACAAAATTAAGTAGTCAGACTGCATAATTTACCTGAGATGCAATCATTTTCAACAAGAAGAGTATTTGGAAGAGCTAAAAGTCAGGTCACCTTTCAGTTCTATTTGCTTTTCTTTTTCTCTTTTTTACCTCCCTGGAGTTATGAATAATTTTGTTCTTGGCTGACTTGCCTACCTGCAGTGCTTAAAAGGGATAAAAAATAAAATTACTTCTGTGCAGTTTTGGTCATTGCAATATAAGAAAGATATTAAGCTATTGGAGAGTGTCCAAAGGAAGGCAACAGAGATGGTGAAATGCCTTGAAAGAAAGCTGTATGAGGAGTGACTGAGGGGGTCACTTGGTCTGTTCAGCCCGGAGAATAGGAGACTGAGGGGAGATCTCATTGCAGTCTACAGCTTCCTTGTGAGGGGAAGAGGAGGGGCAAGCACTGATCTCTTCTCTGTGGTGACCAGTGATAGGACCTGAGGGAATGGCCTGAAGTTGTGTCAGGGGAGATTTAGGTTGGGTATTTGAAAAAATTCTTCACCCAGAGGGTGGCTGGGCTCTGGAAAAGGCTCCCCAGGTAAATGGTCACAGCACCAAGCCTGTCAGAGTTCAAGAAGCATTTGGACAATACTCTCAGGCCCCTGGTGTGACTCTTGGGGATGGTCCTGTGCAGGGTTAAGGATTGGACTCGATGATCCTTGTGGGTTTCTTCAAACTCAGCATATTCTGTAATTCTGTGAGAGAAATCTGAGGATGCCTTTGTTTTCTTGATATGAAATGAATGCAAATATATTGTTAAATATATTGTGTTGTGTTGTGCATTTTAGCCTTTCCCTGTTCAGTGAGTGTTTTCTTTCTTTTTGTTTTTAGCTAAAGGTGTCACGTTCCGATAGCAACCAGCTCACAGCTGAAGAGAGACAGAATTTTGTAACAGTCACTGCACAACAGTCAGATCTGCTTTTTCACCACTCTTCACTTTCTCACCTTGAAAATGAGGCAACAGAGGAGAGAAATCTGACAGTCCGTGTCCTGAATTACACAGTCCCAGAAAATGGAATAATTGATATTGAGTTTCCAATCCTGTATGATACAAAAACTCTGAGAGTTCAGGTATTGCTTTGCCGTATGTGGCTTTGGAGCATTGACAATCGAATTAAGCAGGCTTTGATCAATGTTGTCCTGTTCCTACCATCTACAACACCTGACATGTCACCTATTATTATTTTTGTTGCCTCATGTTTATGTTACAACAGGAAAGTGACAGATCCTGTCAAATGGGATCTAATAATTGCACCAAGATATCAAGGGAAAAACCAAAACAGATACCTAAAGCAAGCAGTAAAGTGATTCTGTACCGCCACTAAGACTACCATGTAAAGAGTATGTGAACATCACACAGATTTTGCTGTTTTGTTGAGAGCTGTTTTTGCACTGTCTCACAGGCAGAGTTCCTCAGCAGCAGGACTGACATAGGTGTTTATGATGTGTTCAGCTCCCCCAGCCAGACTTACCTCCAGGTTAAAACAAAGAGCCAGGATATAAAGGTACAGTCTGAGACAAAACTTGCCAAGATAAGAACCGTTCAAGTTATTCATCATGTTTCCATACTCATGCATATGAATTGCATGTTTTTCCTAGGTTGGGAAGCCTTTTGAGCTGAGCATTGCAAGCAACAAGCCAGTGAGAGAGTTCCACTATCTGGTAAGTCACTCGATTTACACATGGGCACAGTCCAAGATGACTTTTACCATCTTGAGAAATACTCCAGTGAGGGGAATGTGATTAAATGTTAGAGATATTCAGCATTTTTTGTTGTGCTTTGTGAAAGAGGCGGCCCAAAAACTTCCTTTCCACTAGGATGCTCCTTTTTGAAAGATAGCTCCATTTTGCTACCTAGGAGGAATTCCTGTGGCACTGTAAGGAGATGCTCTTTGGGAAAGGTGCGTCTCTGATTTGGGTGTTGGGTTATCTCTGCTTGCAGATGTGAGAAAACTGTAAGAGCAATACTATCTCTGACTGTGCAAAACATCTACAATGGGAGAAGGGACAGAAATTTCCCAGGAGCAGCCCAAGCTGAGGCTTTTTCAGCAGGTCTTGCAGATGCAGGTGGAAGCAGGGGCATGGCAGACCCTGTATGCATGTTCAGGACTGTCAGGGCTGAGCCTGTGGGTACGGGGTGAGAAGACCTGCCTGCTGAGGAAGCAGATGGTCCATTGGGCAGGGTGGCATTGTTAACATGGGAATTTCATAGAAGCATTTTAAAATAAATGTCTTGGGTCGTGGCTTGTTTAGTTGCTGAGCTGCTCTACTGTATCTAGGAGCATCTGAATTGAAGGATTCATTAAATATACCATCAGCAGTCTCCCATCCTGTCTTTAACACGTGCCATTTTTGTTCACAGTCTACACCAGAGTGATTGTGATAGCTACTATCCTTTTTCTTTCAGAGACTTTAACAGTAAACTGAATAAGGAAAACCATATAAAATTTGGGCATTCATATGTATTTCCTAAAATAGAAACAACCTCTAGAAGATTTAAAATAAATCAGGTCCATGAATCAAAGGCAGAGAACCTCCTTTCATGGCTCTGTCTTCATTAATAAGTGCTATGATCCAGTAGCAACAGATTTAGAGTGAAAAAATTGATGCTGTGGACCTGAACTCCCGGTATTTTGAGGTACCTTCAGACTAGCTCTAATCTGTTCTGATAAAATGAATGCCTTCTTTTAACTGGAGCACATTACTGGGCCCCAGTTCACACTCTCTATGATGCAAGCCAAAGTGTTCTAGGTAGGGTTTTGCTTTTGGAGGTTTGCTTTTAAAACGATAAGCCTGAACCAAACTCAAATGCTTTTATAGAAGACCCACATGAACCAACCCTACTACAGTTGTATTTTTATGTTCTCGTAGCATATGTGTGCATTTGTTCTAGTACATTACTTTTGCATAGTGATACAGAAATTAAAGCACAAAAAAAAACTATTACTGATATTTAAATGTTACATTACCTATATGTTCCATGTCGATTTTCACTGAACTGGTCAACCACCTAGTGAAAAAACCCCAAAACCACCACTGCTATATGTCTCTTCTTTTAACAGCTACTTGTAGAAGGAATTGCTGAGCTTACGACATATTGAGATACCAACAGACTGAGTGATTTTTTTTTTTTCCTTTCAGGTATTATCTAAGGAACAAATTGTGGATTTTGGCACGAAGTCTGCAAAAACATTCACTTTAACGGCAGAAAATTCCTGGGCTCCTTTGGCATCTATACTTGTATTCTATGTTGATGAGCTTGGAGTAGTTGTAAATGATGCTCTCACTGTCCCCATCCAGCCTGTTTTGGATGACAAGGTAACTACATTGAACTTGAGTCTGAAACTGTGGTTTTGTCTGGTTGTTGCATGGTAAATGGTGTTTTAGATCATAGGATTATAAATGGAAAAACTTCATCATTGTGGACCTAATCTGAGGCTTGTACAAGTCCTTGGAAAGACTTCCGGTAATACCAGTGCAGTTAGAGTCCAGCTATTGCCTATTTGAAAGAAATTTCTACTAGCACTGTGTGTTCCACGTAATCAGAGGCACGGCACCTCCTTGTGTTTTTAATAGTTTGGTCAATTACTGAGACAAAGATTGCTCGGCATAGGTACTCCTGAGTGCTCAAAGTGTGGAATTGTAAACGTTTATAAAGAGCTTGTTCTAGCCAGGCAGTGGTCACACTGTAGGTAGATGTGATCAGTGTTTGTTTCATGTGACTGTGCATACTTTAGCTCAAAACAACTTTAAGAGGAGTGGGAAAACTGTTGCATCAAGGAATTGATTTTTTCTAGTGTACCAGGATGAGAGTTGGTCCATTGTGCAAATAAAAGCATCACTATAACTTTTTACAGGTAAGACCACCCAAAGGCCATCAACAGGTTCAAATTCTGTCTCTCCTATGGAAACTTTAGCACTTACAACCAGACATCAGTAAAGAGGCTATGTGTCCTGCTGCATGAAAAATGTCTCCATGTGCCTCATGATTTATCCAAACTTTCAAAAGTCCTAGGAAAAGGAATCTCAAAGGTTCAGAGTTCCTAAGAAAAGCAAATCCATAGCCTTAATTATAGCCAAATAATCTAAAAAAATACTTCCTTGGGATTGTTAATGGCTGTAAATATCACTGTATAATTTAAATCAGTGCTGTTTTTTACTTTTTTTCTAGATTAAAATCTCTTGGAGCAAAGATAAGGTCAAGCCATCTGAGAAAGTCTCCCTTAAAATTAGTACAACAGAACCAGGATCAATAATTGGACTTGCAGTTGTTGATAAAAGTACAAAGCTTCTAGGAGAAAGTAGTGACCTAACAGAAGATGCTGTAAGTACATAGGAAATTAGAGATTTTCATTATTGTGTGTATGAAAGATGTATGCTTATGGAAATGTTACTGATTATATGCTGAACAAATAATGTTCTTTGGGCATTTTCAGTATGTAATCTTGCAAATATTTTTTACTTCTGCAAGTAACACGAGCAGAAAAGACTGTAAGGCATACATGGTTATAGGCACAGCATTTCCAATACCAGTTAATATTTTATTGTTCTTCCATTTGATAACCTGCTCAGTTAAGTCTTGACAGTTTCTTTCAGGAAAGACAAAGAAGTCAGGAAAAAACTCTAATGATCTGTGCTTTGTGCACTCCAAAACTAGTAATATAAAATAAAGAATTTTATTCTTTAAAGAGCAGAATAAATTATTCACATTTTTTAATTCCTTTTACTTGCTCTAGTGCATGCTTAATCCATTGCAGCTTAATTCTCTTCATCCTGTCACAGATTGTTTTCTCTTTGATATGAGACCTAAGTAAGCTACAGCTTGTGCTACAGCTCCTACGAAATAGCGTCTACAACAGTGAAAGTTTTGAAAAATGTGAGTTTGCATTCACTCTGAATGATTTTGGGTTTTTTTGTTTTTTTGTTTTAGGTCCTCCATGAGCTCAATTTATACAGCACAGTGCAGTATTTTCCCCTGGTCAGAGGTTCTTTTGGTGTATTTCAGGTACTTCTTTTTTTACATTATAAGCTGTCTTTTTTTAACTGCTTAGTGATTTGCACATCACTTGCTAGAAGAAAATGTACTTTTTAAAGTTTGGAACTGTAGATGGTGTACTGTTTTCATGGCTTATGTGGGTTTTGAATAGTGAAATTTATTAATACGTAAATACTCTGAATGCAAGTAAATATGTTTATAAATACAGATTGCTTTATGCTTGACAGAATCTTCCCTTTGAAAAGTTTTCAGTCATTCAGATTCATATGATCTCTGTTTTATTAGTTCCTGTATATTACTTGCTTTAGTTCTATGATTACTTTATGACTTTATTTATGTAGAAAGAAAGGAAAAGAAAATAGATAAGCACTGTTGATGTCCTTAATGTCCTGTATTGAGATATACTGTATAAATTTTATCCAGAAATGCAGCCTTTGGGTATCAACTGATGCAATTCTTGAGGAAGATAAGGAACATTTTCTTTGTAAGTAATAAAATAAATGTATTCAAATCTAATTTACTGAGTGGGAAGGAGATACATGGGTTAGGGCTCCTATTATGTTTTACTGTACTGCATACAGGCTATATCCAGCCTTGCAAAACATTCAAAAGTTCAAGATTTACAAATGCATACAATTAGTATTTTAAAAACTTCCTTTTTGTTGCTGTCCTGAGTGACACTTAAAGGCTTGAGGGTGAATGGAGTTTTTATTTGCAGTTCCAGTTGATATATTTTGCAAAGGTATAGTCAAATTGCACCAGTTTCATAACCACTCCAGAAGGGCCATGTAGAAATTTAAGTTTGCATGAAACTTTTTTATTCTTAAAAAAAAAAGACAAACAAAACCCCAAGAAAAGAAATGTCCTTGTGCCAGAGTAGTCTTATCATATATAACAAAGCTATAGATTATATTCCGAACACCGTCTTAATTTGAATTTTCTTAACTGCATTAATTTGGTTTTTCTAAATATAGGTATTTGTAGGTAGGACAGTGTTTTTTATTTTGTAGATGGTGGAATGATACCCATAGAAGATGGTTTTGGTGATGATATGCCAGTATCTAAAAATGGACCTCCTGATTTCAGCAATCTCTATGTGAGGACACATTTTCCAGAGACTTGGCTTTGGATCGACACTAAAACTAGGTATAAGATTAGAAGGAAATAGAAACTGATTTGCATTTGCCATTGTTATTTTGTAGGTTTTAGTAGCATTCTGCACTGATGCTGAAAAACACTACTTAACGATGTAGTAGTATTTATATTCTGCTACCACCTAGAGGCCTCAAGTGAGATTGGAGACCCAAAAAATGAGATGTGCAACTGCACAAAAGAGGACCATGCCTGACTGAAGGCCTAGGAGTTTCAATAGAACTAGATAAAAGTCCTCAAGACAAAAGGAACTCTCTTGCTTTTACAGATGGGGAGATAATGAATAGGGAGACCCAGCCTTTTTCTCTACAGTACATAAGAAGATGGTGATTAACCCAGAAAGGGAAATCTGTTGCTATCGGCACGTAATTCCATGAGCAGTTCAAACTGTTAAATGATGGTGAAATCTGCCCTGTGTTATGAAGCATAAATCTTGTATTTTTCTACAGCTGAGAAGTTCCAGAAGCAACCATCATCTGGGCTTGTTTTAGAGAATCTGTGAAAACGGATTACGTGTAAAGTGATTCAGTGTAATTACCTTCAATTCATGAAATTTAAAATAATTTAAATCTTGTAAATAATTTTGCTCCCATCACAGTATTTCTAAATTATTAGAAAATGAAAAACAGATAATGAGCAGCTTTTCCTGCCAGGAATTTGGACTTTGTTTGTCGTGCGTTTTAAAAATACGTATCCACTTACTGATGTTGGTAAATGGATAGTTTTGAAAGTCTGCTCTCCCCTTCTGCCATCAGATCTGACACAGAAACCACAATGGAAGTCATTGTACCTGATACCATCACGTCCTGGGTTGCCAGTGCTTTTGTGATGTCTGAAAACAGCGGGCTTGGAGTGACAACTGCTCCAGTGGAGGTACTGAAGTGCTACGCAGTTTGCTTTTGAGGCTGTAACACTGTAGGTTGTTACTGGCAGCTGTATTTTAGGTCTAACATCAGCCATCTCCTTATACTAATGAAGAGATTTAGAGGCCGCGTGTATTCAAACTGTAAAGAAAACATCATCACTGAAGACATATGTGATACTGTATCTGCCTTCCCTTCCTGCTCATATAAATCCACACAGATATTTGGATACTCATTTCTGTTCGAGCAATTGTTTTGTTAGAGTACTTACAGGATGTGCCCACTTCAGAATCTTTGTATACAGAAAGGGGCAATGACTGCCTGAGGACAGTGTTCCATGCTTTCTGCCCACAGCGTGTTCCATGAGCTGATAAGGCATGCAGTGAGGTTTGCACAGACTAGCTGGGATGGCACAGGCACTTTGTCTGCTGCTCTGCTAACACTTACCCCAGGAGGGAGAATGGAAGAATTGCTCAAAGACTAAATTACTTTCATTTGTCTGTCAAAACCAGTCTTGGAGTAAATATGGGTGCAACCTGCTCTAGGTAAACCTGCTTTAGCAGGATATTGGACTAGGGGCTATCCAGATATCCCTTCCAACCCAGCCATTATGAGATTCTGTCATAGGTGCTAAATTTTGGGTGCCTTTGCTTGAGGAGCAGAGTGGACACTGAGAGGTAGCCATGGGATGAGGTGCTTCTTGCTGCAAAATTCCTGTCTCCTCAGGCTCTTTTTGTGCTTCCAAGTGTCCAAATAGTTTAGCAATTTAAGCTAAATTCAGCACTCCTCAGATTAGATCTCTAATCTGAGATTCCCAGTGCAGTACAGGTGCAGTTGTCCTAGGCTCACTCTGTGTTCAAGGAAATCTCTTGTTTAAAATAGGAATTAATTTTTTGAGTCTCATTTAGCTAGTCTTTTATATACTACGAATAACCTTCTGAAAGTAGTTATCTGTCTCCATTCTCCAATTAAGTACCTAAATTTAGAAAGTTTGAGACTGCAATACTGGATCACAGATTTCCATCTTGATTCCTGGACTAGCACAAACATAGCTTGGAAACAGCCATTTACCCACTTTAAGTTCTCATGCCCTCAAATTCTTGGGGAAGGGCAACTTTTGAGATCCAAACTGAGATCTATATCCAGATTTTGTAGTTGGTTGCTATACTAGACACAGAACATGTGCATTGAACATCCTGATTTAACTCCACCAGAGAATTTGGAGCCTGATCTGGATTTTGAGGTTAAGTCTCCTTTGAGACTGGAATCATGATTCTTGTTTCTTTCACTTGGCTTGGCAGAGATGGGAAAGAAAGAAAAATAGTTTTCTGGTTTAAACTGTATGGAAATACACACTTGGCCTCTCATCCTCAAATCTGAGAAGGCCGCAAGTAGAACAGATGTTGAGATTATTATTTAGCTATAATCACCCACATGCACTGTTCAGTACGTCACCCTTGCTGGGATGTTTAGATTGAGCTTAGAGTTCCATATGGCCGAAACATGTTAATCAGTACCATACAGAGAGTCAAATAAAAGAAATACATGGAAAGAGTAACAGGGAAATAAATAAGAGACATGTGCATGCTTAATGTCATTTACTGCTTTGCATCTTGGGCTTTTCTGACTTCTACTATACAGAATGTTGATAATTTTACTCAGTTGTATTTTATTGTAGTATACTGGAATATTCCTGAGTGTAAAATTTTAGTTTTAAAGAAAAGTAAAACAAAAAAGACAAACAAAATAGGTATATAGGGAAAACCCTGACTAGAAACTAATCAAAAAATCTCCGTCAGAACTTCTCTAAAGTCTAATATCTAAAGAAGTTTTTGACACTGAGAGCTTTAGCAAACAAATTTTCTTTAAAAAAACCACATTGGAATAGATGCTAGCTAGAAAAGAAAAGCTGCGGGGTTTTTGGATCTGAAACTCAAAACACTTGGAAGAATTTCTTTAATGAAAACCAAATTAAAACCATTTTTAGTTGCCATTTCAGTAATAAAGGATTTCATGTCTCAGCCATTCTTACTGTACAGATGTTCATAAACAGTGAAATTTTGATCCCATTCGACTTGATGAGAGCTTACCACTGACTTCTTAGAGCCAAGATTTCTTCCAAAACCCTCTGTTCACAGATAAAAGTAGCTGCTTGCTGGTGTATTTCTGCAGTTTTTTCTTTTAATTAAGAAAATATGTATTTTTAGAAATATGACTAAAGAACTTATGCCAAGGTTAATATTAAAAAATAAAAAATCATTCTAAGGTGTTATTGAATTATAAAATTTGGGAGAGTTAGTTATTTTGTATTCCAGCATGCATTTCTCTATTGACATAAAGACAGGGCAACTGACAGAGTCTTAATCATTCATTACCTATACATTCAAAACAATGCACATTTACCTTAATGCAATCTCAGGACAGATCACAACTTCCAGACTTGCCAGGTGAGAGACTCTTAGCCCTAATTCAGTTGCCTTTGTTGAGACCTTGCCCTGGCAAAGCTGTCAGCAGCTCTCATCTGAATGGTGCCTCTGAGTTCCCACAAAGGTGCTAATGACCAGAAGCCTCTTTGCCTTGTGTTTCAACCCTGCAGTAATACCTTTAGTCAGCTGTAGACTACAAGTAAACATACTCTATCATCTGAATTTAAAAGCGATTGGAAGATATATTGTATAGTAATTTTCTTGCTAGTATCTGATTGTTGGGGCTCAGTGCTGATTTTGTTTTGCAGCTAGAAGCTTTTCAACCTTTTTTCATTTTCCTGAACCTTCCATACTCCATCATCAGAGGAGAGCAGTTCATTTTGGAAGTGAACATCTTTAATTATTTGAAAGAAGAAGCTGAGGTAAAATAAGTCTCTTTATCTTTGAATGTTACTAGATACTGCAGGGTTTTCATCAGTGGTAGAGACCAGGTCTTTCTTTTGTGAGAACTAGAGTATTTCCTTTAGTGGACAGACCATAAAGCTGTTTCTCTATACACAAAACAGGTGGCAGTTTATGAAAGCAGCTTTTCAAAATTAACACTTTGTATTGCAAATATTACTGTATTTACAGGTTACTGTGATCCTGGATATGAATGATGCTTTTGAAATTATTTTAACATCAAATGAAATAAATGCTACAGAAAATCGACAGTCTATATCTGTACCAAGTGAAGATGGCAAAACTGTTCAGTTCCCAATCAAGCCGAAACAGCTGGGAGAGATTCCCATCAAAGTGACAGCAATATCATCTGCTGCTTCTGATGCTATCATTCAGAAAGTTTTAGTAAAGGTAAACAGTCTTCAGCTTGGCTTGTTCCTAAAGTAAATTTTTCCTTGAAATAGGCAACAAAGTGCAGCAAAAAGGCAAACCAATTTACTTGTCTGCCTCTTGCTCTGTGAGGTTGGTTTGGTGTCAGGTGGCTTTAGGTAGAAAACACGTATTTTAAAATAATTTCTTCTTTAAAATTCTTCAGATCCCCTTCCAGGAATTGACACATAGATCTGTTCTACAAGACATATTTAGTCCAGTGCTTCTGAAAGCAAGGTCAAACCTATTTGTGCATCAGTGAATGCCTGGTGCAACACCTAGCTTAGTAATCTGTGGAGAGTGGACCTAGTAACTGTGTTGTGGATAAATACAGTCTATTTTGCCATACACTTGGCTTTTGTTCAAAGCCTATTTTATATGGACATTTCTGTATTTTGGTACTGGTGCTGGATTTTTAGCCTCCAGGCTTTCTGATAAATCAGAAACTGATAAGACTTGCTTAATTTAGGATGTTAAGGTCTGATTCATGTTAAACTCCATTTCAGTGGAAGGTAGTAGACATTTGTACATCTCATCCTAGAATGAATGCTTAATATCATAGAATCAGAAAATGGTTGAGGTTGGAAGAGACTAGTCCAACCTTCCTGCTCAGGGCAGGATCAACTACAGCAGGATACTCAGAATCCTGTACAGTCAGGTTTTTAATATCCCCAAGAACGGTGCCTTCACAGCCTCTCTGGGCAGCTTATTCTAGTGTTTTAACACTGTCACAGTTTAAAAAGTATTTTTTTAAGTGTAAGAGGAAATACCTTTATTTCCTGTGCATTGCCTCCTTTCTACTACTGGGCACCACTAAGAAGAGCCTGGCTCCATCTTGTTTACGCCCTCCCATCAGGTATTGATACACATTGATGGGATCCCCCTGAGCCTTTTCTTCTCCAGATTGAACAGAGGCAGCTGTCTCAGCCTCTCCTTAGACTGCTTAAAACCTCTTCCCTGTAGGGTTGTGAGTTGTTTTCAGGTAGAGCCACTTACTGCCCTTTCTGTTGAAGTTCAGTTGTGCAGAAGAGAATAAGAGTCCAGTACACCATTTATTTTCTCTACTTCAAGGACAATTTTTCTCAAGGTATTTTGAATCCATGAGGAAATGAAACCTTTATGGACATGTACCTAACTTCAGTTTAAGTCTTTCTTGTATCCCTCAGTACAAGCTGTAGGACTGTAGAGAACATGAAAGGTATCACCTCCAGCCTTGCCTGTGCCTTGGCATGGAGCTCACTGGAATCACAGATGCTCTCACTGACTTTGCAGGTGTATTTTTATAATTGCTACATGGGCTTGAAATGCAAATAGTGGAGGTGGGTCTTTATGAGAAAAACATCTCTGTGTCAGTTTGGCTGGGCCAGTAGCTCAGGTTCTTGATGTGTTAGCAAGCAGCCCAAAACACCTGACAGTGTTTTAGATCCTTCAGTACAGTAAGCACAGAACGTCTGTCCTAAAAGCAATAAACTGATTGAGATTACAATAATCCTGTCTTTATCTTGATAGGCTGAAGGATTGGAACAAACATATTCTCAGACAGTTCTTTTGGATTTGACTGGGAATAAGCGACAATCAGTGTCAAAAGCTTTGGATTTCACTTTTCCTTCTGATGTTGTAAGTGACAGTGAGAGGGTGCAGATCACTGCTGTTGGTAAGAATTACCTTATTCTGTTTCCATCTTTAGGGAATGGCATTAATTTTTATTTAATTGCAGTATTAATAGGTTGAATCATTAGTTCAAAGGAATTTACCATCATGCATTAGACTAAATTTTGGAAGACATTATGGATGGACTGTTTTATTCCTTTATTTAATTTATGATATTATGCTGTTTGTATGGTATTTTCAGAGTTAGAGAGTTGTATTTTAATCAGGGGAGGTCCTGCCAAGTTTGCTAGTATCCTGTTTTAATTCTACTATCTGCAGAATAAAACCTATAACCTGACTGATAATTGTTTCCCGTGACACTTGGGCTTTGATAACTGTAGGTGAATTTGAAATTACTCTGTGGTTGGAAAGGTCTGTAGGGATCTGGGTCAGTGGGCATAAAGTCAATGAGAAGAGTAACTATTTTTTGTGCCTGATTAGTGGTGTTTAGAAGAAACATTCCTAATACATCATATTTTCTCCCAGCATAGATTTCACTACCCTTTATGTGTGAGATATGCATTTATTTGCAGTAAACTTTAATTAATTTTGATTAAATTTTATCTTTCAGGTGATTTACTTGGGCCTTCTATCAACGGTTTGTCATCATTGATTAAGATGCCTTATGGCTGCGGTGAACAGAATATGATCAACTTTGCTCCAAATGTTTATATTTTGCAATACCTGACTAAAACCAGGCAGCTGAGAGAGGATATTAGATCAAAAGCTGTATCATTTATGAGAAAAGGTCTGTATGTGTAAAAGAAAGGTGGTAGATTTCTAAGAACTCTTACTAGTAGAAAGGTATCTGTGACTCTGCATTTAATGTTTGAAATATTGCTCTTCTAGTGAGATGAGAACTGGAAGAAAAGCCCACTTTTTCGTTCTTTTCCTCTTTTTTCTGGGCTGACAGAAGTAGACAGCAAATTTTTTTGTTTACAAGGGCATGTTTGCTCACAAAAAACCATGTTTTTATATAATTGCTTTTTTTTCAGATTTCCTAGATGGTGGTTATTTCTCATTTGATAAAACTACGTGTGAGCAAACATTTCTGACCACTGCCTGAGGCACAGAGGTTGAAAATTAGTCAGTGAGCAGAGTGAACTGTATTCGTCCCATCTGTGTATCTGTCTTCGGTGACGCCACCCTGATCCTGACATGTCCTTGTAGAGCTCAAGGAGTGGCGTTTGCTCTGGTGGCCGACTTTGATTTCTCGTTAGACTTGCTCAGAAGTGAACTCTGTGCTGGAAATCAAAAGCTGGAAAAGTGTAGTTGGGAACTGTTGTATATTTTAATCGGGAGATACTCCAGGGCATCACAAAATGTGGAGAACATAGTTGTTCTGTGCTTCTCTGTGCCTTTTGGATCAGACAGCATCCAACTGTGATGCACCACACTCACCACCTGTCAGTCTCCACGCAGAGAGCCTGGTTCACAGAGAGCAATGAGACCATCCCCATGTGAGCTACACCCCTACTAAGGCATTGTGATGACAATGTCAGTTTTTATTTACTCTCTGCAAGTATTTTTTGTTTGATTTTTTAAAGTTGTTGACATTTCCCTTGGAAAAGGCACAGCTAAAAATAAATTTTCCTTTCATCAAGATTCCAGTTTTCTGTCAAAGCAGTTAAATGATTTTTTTTTTTAAACCCTTTTAAAATTTTTTTAAAATCCTTCCTCCTACATGGTTTAGTTGAAAAGTGTGTTGGGAAGGAAGAGATTTTGTAAACAACTACTCTGAAGTTTGTAAGCAATCTATCACTCTTTTAAGCTTTAGCTTTAGTACCATAACTTTCTGAAGTTTTCCAATAGCCGATTTATTAAAGCTGTTTCAAAGCAAGTCAAAATTATAGGTTTAAATGTCACTTACATACCAAGTGTTGTGTTACTTAACTTCTTCCTGAGGCTTTGGATTGATGTACATGTTTTTCAACACCATAATAGCCAAAACAGCAAGTCTGCTGAAATATTTGTAACCTTAATATAGAAAGGAACCACAATCTAAAAAATACTCTGATGGGGTTTTTTTTGTTTTGGTTTGGTTTTGCTTTATTTTAACAATTTATTTCAGTTGTTGCACTGACGTTAAAAAAGTGTAATCTTGAAGTTGAAATTTATCTGTAGTCTAAGATGTAATTTTTCTAAACTCAGTTTTTTAAAGGATTGTCATGAAGTTTAATTTAAAACAGACTTTTTTCACATCATAATTCACCAAGTATTTGAAAAAGTGACTTCAGAATCTGTAGTAAATGTAATTAATTTTAAGGCTAAATGCTTGTGAGAGGAAGGGATCATATAGCTAAAAGAGACTGCTATATGATCTTATAGGAGTTTTATTTACCTAGAACAAAGGCAAAGCCAGAGAAAAATTGCCTTTCAAACATATTTCTTTAATTGTGGTAATGACAGGTCCCATCTTTAAATCACTTCTTCTGAAATGAAAAAATTCCTGGTTGGTCTGAAAACTTTTTTATTAGACCCAGAAAAATAACGGGTTTGAGCAGTATTTCCAAGCTGTTTGAAATGTGAGACCCTTTAGTCTTTCACATATTTCTGAAGTCCTTTCCATCCTGATGCAGTCCTCTTTCAGTCTTGCTCAGTGAGCCTCCTACATCTCCTGGGTTCCAGCCAGTCCTCTGGGAGTACTAGTGTACATCTTCATAATAGGATCCTTCTTTTCCTTGCCTTTCCAATTGTACATGTTGCCATTTGAAGTATCATTTTTCATGTCTGATGGAGTGTCCGTTGGAATGAACGCGGTGGTTCACAGGCTCCAGGTCTCCCATTCTAGCGTTTTCTGCAGGCTTCCCCACGTTGGATACGCTCATGTTTAGAGACTTGCGTGACTGCAGCGGGGTTGGCATTGAGACAAAAGCACACAGACTGTAGGAAATAGCTGAATGATCTCTCTGTCCTCCCTCTGGTTCTGATCTTTCTGGTTGCTCCCAATCTTAAATTCTGGGATAAATTTATCCCCTGTTTGCTCCTCCGCAGTCTTAGTTAAGCAGGCTGTTGGTCTTAGTTTAGTGCTTTTACACCACCAGGGGGGTGGTGATTATAATACTTATTGCTGGCCAGTTCTGCAAAGCAGCAGAAGACCTTGTTTTCAGGCCTTGCAGTCAGGTATTTCAGAAGAGGAAGCAATCTATTTGTATATATACATAAATTTGTGCTCCTCATAGAACATTATTTTGATGCTTAAACTTTGACAGCGACTTTTGTTTTCTTTGGTGAGAAATACCACTCATTCCTTCTTTTTTTTTCCTTCCATTTAAGAGTGCTTTACTCCATATCATTAGCTGAGGTGACAGGTGTGTCTACAGTCAGGATAGTATGTAAATGGGTGATTAATCCTTTATCTGTGAAAGCAAGGAACATTTTGCAGGGGAACAGTTGTAGCTGGATGCACCTCACGGGACGTATTCAAAAATTCATTCATGTAGGACTTACTGATGTTGCCTGAGAGTTTTCTTTCTGCCTGTCTGATTCTGTATTGTGTCTATATCTATCATGTTTTAGACTAATTAATATACTTTCCTAATTATAATAGCTAAAATAGCAAAGCCAAGGGAAAACATGAAGTGGGGGGGAAAGAAGAAAAGATGTCATGTGAAATGCTATAAATAGATATCATTATTGTTCCAGATACACAAGTGGCAGGCAAAATTTAATGGAAGAAAGGCTTTAGATATCAGAAGCTACAATAAGTAATTTTTAGCGTTAATGAACATTGATTTTGTACTGAAGTCAGCTATTTAGTAAGGATGCTGCTGGTGGTTTTGAGCAGCTGGTGAGCCCTTGAAGCCCTTTTATAATGGATGTCCCATAGTCAGGAGAAAGCTGCATTTGTTCTGGATACTGAAAAATCTTGGGATACATTTTAAATGCTTGCTTCTCAGGATTTCAGGATCTTCAGGTCTTTTGGCATTTTTCACTCATTTCAGAACAACCTTTTCCAGCATGCTTTTTCTGATAGCTTGTCATTTGATTGGCAAAAGCCAGCTGCTGAAAGGGCCTAGTTTTCAGCAGCACGTGTAGCCTTGCCCTTCCAGTTGGAAAATACGTTTTGCTGGAAAGATAGAGCATTTCTATGGGTGTACAACTCCAGCTCCCTAGAGTGATGAAGCACTGAACTCTAGCTGCTACTCTGCTCTGCTCTCACTGGAACAACTGAGTATGTTGGGAGCATGTCTCTCTGCACCACTGTCATGTTTGGGTGGCAGATGAAGAACAGCAGGGGTTTATGGTTCTGCTTTTGTAGATGGATCCTTTGTGTTATAGCTGCCCACTTTCTCATCATCTTCTACATGGCTTTGTTTGTTCCTGCATATTTGGGAATTTTTTTAGGAAATACAAGCTTAAGTTCTGCCCTTCTCAGCCTTAGAAAGTGCCTTGCTTCACATCAGCAGTTTGTGCTGGAAACCGCATGAGTGTTCAATACCAGTCTCTACTTTTCCACTTCAGGCTACCAAAGAGAGTTGCTTTTCCAGAGGGATGATGGCTCTTTTAGTGCCTTTGGAAATGAAGATCCCTCTGGGAGCACATGGTAAGTAGTTCTGCCAGAATCATTGTGGAATTTTAGCGTTTCAGATATTTTTTCCTGTGTCTCAAAATTTTTTGTGAAGCTGGTAAAAATTTCCAGCCGTATTAGCCTTCTGCCTGGTTTTCATTAGGTATTTAGGCCAACTCTAAAGTCTTTCTTGCTGGGTAACATACTGTGAAAGCCATTATTAGTGTAAAGCTTTTTAATTTTGCAAAAAAATGACTGATGAATTATTTTAACCAGGGGAATAGTTTGGTCTGAGAGTTTTTCTGTTGCTGTTGCTTTCCTGAAAGGAATGAAGAATAACAATTAAATTACTTATTCTTGCAGTTGACAGGAACCATTTAGGGCTATGTGATCATCACTGCTTCAAATAGATTTTCAGTTATCTCCATACAGGAAGCTGAAAACTGACTGAGACATTTCCTAGGGGGTGAATAGAGTTAGTAGTGATAAAAAATTGTCCTACTTACCTCTCTCACATTTCCTTTTATTGAGACTGTAAAAACAGCTGAAAAAGTCTTTTCAGCGCTGAGTTTTGCTCCAAGAAGCATGGAGACCCTAGTCATGGAAGCTAGATAGATAATGGAGACAAGTTCCAGCACTTTATTCAGCTAACTCATGTCAAGTTAGTTTAAATATACTTATATATTTCAGTACATGCTTCTGACTTTAAATAGAACCATCCTCAGCCACTGACTGAAACACTGCTTCTGGAGTCACTGGGCATCTTTCATTGACATCAGAGGGGTTTGTCTTTGACTCAGTATGGATGGTTTGGAAAATGAAGATAATTCATCTGTACTAGCAACTCTAGTGCTTAAAGAGTACAGTGACAGGTTACATGAATGCACATTTGGAAAGAAGGGAATCGAAGGATAACCTGAAATTATTAAAATAAAACAACAAAGATTGTTTCAAGGCTATCATTACAGGGATAATGATGGTAATTAATATCACACTCATAACTGCATTGCTTTGTAAACTATAATATTTGCCTAGCAGCAGAAGGCAGGAGAGCAACATTTGAATAAAGATATACATGTGCTGGCAGACTTGGATTTTTGACACATAGCAGCTGCAGAAGGGGTGATCTTTAGGAACAAGAGCATATCTTCATTTTTGGTGGATTAAACTTAGTCTACTTGCTTATCTGGGTGAGGCATATATTTTTCTCTCTTTGGGAGGTGTGTGTAGAACACCTTATGCTTTACGGTATTCTTACATCATCTTAAACTGTAATAAAGCTGTAATACCTGGCTAATTTTGTCATATTTGGTTAACCTTTTCCCCAAGGTTATCAGCTTTTGTATTAAGATGTTTCCTTCAAGCTCGGCCGTTCATAGATATTGACGAAGATGTGCTCATGGATACAGCTAAATGGATTGTCCGTCATCAGAAATTAAATGGAGAGTTTCATGAGCCTGGGAAAGTGTTACACAGTGATCTTCAAGGAGGCACCAATAATCCAATTACTCTCACAGCTTACATCATGTCATCCCTCCTAGGGTTCCCAGATAAACAGGTATTGGAATTCATAAATATAATTCATAATTACAGGAAAAATTCATAAATTGTTTAGTACCTAGCAAACACTTGGTAGTTTAAAGACATAGAGGGATAAGTGAACAGAGACAAAATGTAACCTTACTTTGTTAAACATCCCTTACCTACCCAAAGCGATGCAAAATTTTGCTGTTAAGCCCCTCAATTTTCTGTACCTTTGCAAAATCTAAAGGCAGTTATCAAGGCTTTTAGCAAGAATATTGCCATGGCTTTAGTCCAAGAACTTACAAAGATATTTATGGGGGGAACTAGTCTTAGAGATGTTAAGTCATTCCAGTTGATTTCATTGAAATTACTTACGTTCATAAAAGGTGGTACCAGATCAAAAAGCTAACCTTTGAGGTTTGTGTCTGTAACTCTGAAAGAGATTTTTCGTTATTTCTTGGTGGTTGTTTGGTGCTAGTAATTTTTCTGTTTCTGTACAAATTTTTCTTTTACATTTAAGTATTTCAATATATATTTTATTCACATTCTTCAACATGATCTTCATTTCCAGCATTCTTATGCCATCAAGACTGCTACAAACTTTCTGGAAGATAAATTAGAAGAAGGTATTTCAGATAATTACACTTTGGCACTTGTGACCTATGCATTGTCCTGGGCAAAAAGTACAAAAGCGAAAGAAGCACTGAATATGCTGAACGAGAGAGCAGAACACCAAGGTATTGCACAACTATCTTACACAGTTCTATAGATGGATTTTTGTCAAATTTAAAAATACCTATCACATATTGACAGCTGCCTATAGAATTCAAGTCTGTTTTGTGTTTGATATAGAGAATAAGCTAAGAAGTTCCAAGACAGCTGTAATGAAAAGTGTCCATAAATGAATGATAACTCACAACAAAGCTTTAAGTCTCAGTTACCATGTTCCTGGTAGGAGAATCATGATGCTGTTGAAGAACATGACTTGTCAGTTTTCCTGTGTTATTATGCACACTTGTAAGATCACCGTGGTTAAAGAGAGATACTTGGATGAAATTAGCTATTCCGAAGTGGTTGGGAGAGATCAGGAGGGTATTGGGGGACAATTAGTTAGAATCAGTATTGAAATGGAGGTAAAGTATTGAACTTTCTGTAAGGCAGTACAGAGGTCTGTTGCACTTTCTCTGGGCAACCGCCATCTCATTCTGTTTAACCTCTTTCAAGTTTAGCACAGCTGAATTTATTTTCCTAGTTTTGGGAAAGAATAGACTATATTGAGTATAAGAAATGAAAATTTTTGGCTCATAGTAGTAACTCACCTCTTGAAAAATTCAAAGGAATTAATGTTGTAGCCTGGTAATGGAGCCTCTTGAGTGTCCCTCTGCATTTACTGAGTTAGACCTTTTAGACAGTCACTTTTGGGAAGGGAAGAAGTCACTCTTTTGGGAAGGCTTCGCTCAAGAATGAGTCTAGTGAGCAGCTCTGCTGCCTGAGGTACCTTCTCTGGTCCTGAAGAGAAAGGAGCACTCAAACAACAAGGTGGGGTTTTCACTAGGGCTCCTTTATGTGGGTACTTTAGGCTGACAATGAAAGGATCAATGTAAAGTTCACTGAAATCAATGGGAGTGACTATTTGGACTCCAGCTTTTTTTGTATATAGATTCAGGCACTGCTGAGGAAGTGCTTAAGTCAGTCCTTTATGGGACACAGGCCTAAACATTAACACAATTTCATGCAACCTTGCTAGATCTCATATGTAAGCATTACTGAAGAGGACTCCCCTAAGTCTTTCGCAGAAATCCTAAGACTTCAGTCTGTGAATCTGAGGTTATTATTGGTTCTTTTTGCAGGTGAATTTCGTTTCTGGATAACACCTGCTTCTGAAATTTCTGACTCATGGCAGTCACGGTCCATTGATATTGAACTTGCAGCATATGCTCTGCTCTCTCACTTTCATCAAGACAGATTAGCAGAGGGGATCCCTATTATGAAATGGTTAAGTCATCAAAGAAATCACCTTGGGGGATTTTCTTCTACTCAGGTAATATCTTGCTGTAAGGGGCTTTGTTATAACTTTCCTAAACAAGCAATGCATATTAAAAGAAAAAAAAAGGAAAGAAAAAAAGGACTATTTTTTACATAATAATTACTGAATTTTGTTTTGCTGTAACAGCCTTGGTTATGTACAAGCTTGCATTCTTTGTGATACTGGAATCTTAAACCTGGACTGCCAGTTTTAGTACTTTTGGCAAGTCTAAGAAAAAGAGAATCAGAGGGAGACCTTGTTATATAAAATATTAATACTAAAACATCTTAAATTAAGAAGCAGTGATACCCATAGAAAAGTATTCAAACGTATTTTCCAAATAATATAATAAATATCCATGCTTACTTTCTTTCCAAGGAGAGAAACCTCTTTCTATTCTTTCCATGTGCAGGTCCTCAAACTCCTGAAACTGAACCTTTAACTAAGGGGAGTAGGTTTTAGAGAAACAGCCTAGCCTAGTGCCTCTGTTGGCAGTTGGTCTTAACTCAGTAATTTACTTTGTCCTCATTATTGTGCAGATTTTTGATGGGCCGTGAAATTTGGAAGATCTTCATTATCTCCAGGAGGTTTCCATGTTATTGAAGCCACATCTTGTAAGAGATGCTGGCATCCAAAAGAATTAGATAGTACTTTGGATTGCATTAGTTTAAACTAGCTTTTAAATTAGCTACAAATGCTGGTCACAGTGAAATGTCACATTTCATCACTCTGCTTAGTACCAAGCTGTACAGGCTACCCTTCATTATTTTCAAAAGTTTGTTGGTATTAATCTGAGAGAAATGAGTTCTACTAAGTAAAATGCTATTTAAGAACCAGCCTGGTTTCCCTGAGGTATTAGGATTTTCCTGATGTGTTAATTCTTTCTTACTATTTGAAGAGGTTGTTCGAGGCACTGAATGAGTTGAAAAAGCTTTTCTTCTCTGGAAACCTTCTTTTTCCTGGAGAGTTTGAAAATTCAGCAATGTACCATTTACCTCTGAGGCTGAAATTAAGAATTTAATTTAATCCTTTTGTTCTTCCATACTCTAAACTGTTTTGATTTCAAAATTACTCTAGTGTCTCACTAGATACTTTTTTAAATTTGTAGAAATGACCCCATAGTTTTTGTCAACTTCTAAGATTACTTTAAAAAATATCCTTCCATGAATTTATTACATTAGAAACTTAATATATTGCTAAACAATAAGGAGGAAAGTAATTGGTTGCATGTGCGATGCTTTGTAAGTTAGAATATGATAATTCACTAGAATTTGTATACGTGATATATCTTACTATGAATTTGTAATCAGTATATTTTGCTTTATAATGCCTTTAATGTTTGGACACAAATGTACATATTTCATATATATAGAGGAATACAATTAATACAAAAAATAGCACATACATGAATGTAGATTTAAATGATAGGGAGAAGTAACAAATTCTGCAAAGCCTGTGTTGCTGGGCAAGAGAGGCCTCTGAGTCTGACTTGAAACCATATTCCCTAACTTTTCAGGTTGTGTATTGTCATGCTGAGCTGTGCACCTCAACTGTGAATGTTGCCTGGTGAAGAGCCTTAGGTGTGCCTTCTGCTTTAGAGCAGCCAAGGAGAATATTTATCTTCTCTGTAGGTAGTTTGTAGCCCTCCTGATTTCCAGGTGTGTTTCTGAGAGTCATTTGAGCCTAGGATGTGAAAGAGCTCTAAAGTCACCTTCAGCAATGGCAGATAACATTTCTAGATATCTCGAACTCTCTCTGAATTTAGTGCAAGAAATATAAATGCAAAAAATATAATTGTAAAGACTTGGAAAAAGTGCTTCAAGGTATTCCTTGGTTTCTGAAACTTAGGTAAAGGCAGGTATATTTCTGCTTTTGAATGATTAAAAACATATTCTCCAACACGATCTTATAGCTTCCTAGATCTATAATATAGATCAGAGATATATTCTTGTTTGTTTTTTTGTTCCCTATTGGTGTAGTGTGTAATTCTGACTGTTGTGTCTATCAGCTTGTCAAGTCTTCCAGATACCTTACACAAGAGGAAAACTTTCTTAGCTGGCTCATATTTCATATCATATCAGAGCAGCTAACTTCTCATCCTGTGTTGCCATCTCTCTTCTGTACTGGGACCTTCATTCCACAGGAATCCCAACAGAGATGTGGAGATGGCTGCATGAATACTCCAGCATAATCAACAAATGGATTGATGCAGGGATCATGAGCTCCCCAAGGCATGGCGTTTACACTGCACAGGCTTCTTCTATTTAATACCGAAGGATTTGTTTCTCTCGACAGGACACAGTGGTGGCTCTGCAAGCCTTGAGTCTATTTGCAGCTCTCACTACTGCAGGCAAAACAGAAATGGATATAAAAGTGACAGCACCTTCTTTGGAAATACCAGAAACATTTTCAATTGATACTCGAAACCGTTTTCTGCTCCAGAGCAAGGAGGTACTGTAGAAAATGAGGAATACTTTTTTAAAGTCTGCTGACTGAAAGTACTTTGAAAATACTGGTTTACTCATCTTTCTTTCAGATTGCCCCTGCACAATCAATGACACTTACAGTGTCAGCAGAAGGAATGGGATTTGCTGTCTTTCAGGTATGCAATGCAGTTATTCTTGCTAAAGGTATGCTCTCTTTAAGGAAAGTATAGTTTGGAAGCTTTATAAAACATGTTACTAGAAACAATCTCCTGAAATATCTTAAATCAGTACCAAAGCACTTTACTAATTGAGGAATTCTGTGAACTAAATATTGTGAATGGACGTATTCATGTGATTGTTTCTGACTGATGGCCTGGCCTTTTAAGTACTGCTGGCTGACTGACAGTTTTGGGACACTTCCATGGGTCAGGGCCATTAAAACATCTTTACTTATATTTAAACAAATTAAACTGAGATCAGTGCATACTGTATTTAGAATTAACAAACCATAGGCAGCCTTTTCAGCTGCCTACTCTTCTCTCATATCAGAGATTAGGTTTTTAAGAAATTTCCCCTCCAAGATTTTCCCTTATTTATGAGAAATACCATATCAGAAGAAGACAGTATTGGATCCATCTTGATATGGCGACTAGCGGGTTTCACTTTTCTGCTGCCCTGTCCATGATAATGGGTTAGAACCACACAGGTGAAAGAGAAGGCCTTTGAAAAGCTACAAATAATGCAGAAATATTAATCTCTGAGCATGAGAGACTCATTTTATTGGAAGTGTATAAACTCATAATTGCAACTGTACTGCAAAACCAGACAGAATTCCTACTAGACTCCTTCTACTCATACTTGGGAAAACTGAACTAAGGCTGCCTTTAATCTTCTCAAAGTTTTATGCCAGGTCAGATTCCATTTCAAGTTCCTTCCAACCTGACCTTCACTTTAGTGTTCTTATGCATCTGGGAAACAAAAAAGTCTGGTGATGGTTGGTAAATATGCTTTGGGATAAAAGACCTTTTCAAAGAAACCTTCATGGCTGCCTATCATCAATGATACACCTCATTCATTCACCACCAGTCTGCAAAACCCACAGGGCGGTAAATCATGACCCGTGTTTATTAATTCCCAGAAGTACAAACAAAGTTTACAGCAAAGTTGAAAAGTTTCAGGGGATAATTTAGATTCAGTCTTGCAGGCCAAGATGGGACTGAACATCTCAGCAGGACTGCGTTCACATGTCTGTGGTTTCAGTGTGTGTGTGTTTGTATGGAATGTAACAAAGGGGGGCTCCAGAACAGTTAAGAGTACTTAATCTTAAGTCATTATTGAGAAATGCTCCCTGATATTAAGTCAACTAATTTGTCAGACAAGCTGACCAAAAACTTTTCAGCAAATTGTTTCTTGCTGGAAGACACTGATTTGTTGAAATTAATACCTTTTATGGAAACACATTGGTTCCAATTATGGTATTGCCAGCAAGAAAATTTAAAATTCAAACCAGCATGCCTGGTGAAGACTGAGCAGAAGTCTTCCACCTTGAACAGTTAGTAGCTGACTGTGGTTGGAGGTCTCCCTGGGGGTGTATAGCACCATGGTTTAAGTTCCTGGTTTGTTATATGAACATGGAAATGTGCTCCTGAATAACTGGTGTTCAGGAACCAAGGCCCAGATTACCTTCTTTATTTAGGTCACTATGCTGTTGCCTCTTTTCCTCAAGCTTTGAGTCAGAGATGCTGTGACTTGATTCAAAATATTGCGCTTAACACCCCGGAGTAGCTCCTCCAAAACCTTATCTTTGCTGAGATCAGTTCTTTCCTTCTGCTTTCTTTAGCAGGTTGGTATTCTAAAAAAAAGAACACTGAGGCCATTGAATGAGATTTCTCTTTTTCCCAAACACAAGCTATATCTGTGTCGAATTTAATAGATCAGATAGCATATGACATTGCAATCACATTTCTTCAGCTGGGTTTCATTGTCTTAGGCATGGCAGAGTACAATGGTAACCATCACTGTTCTGGGATTTTACTTTCTAGCCAAACGTAGCATGTCAAAACAGTAATTCATTTAAATATCACAAAACACAAGATTAAATGCATTAATAGAAATGTCTACTTTCCCAACAGAATGGATTCTAAGGGGAAAAACCATATTTTTTTTGTGAAATCTCACTGCCTGTGTGTGTAAATTGGTAGTGCATTCACTCTTGACCCTGCAGGATCTCATTAATGTATGTATTTTTGATATTTTAATTTCAAAAGCAGACATTTACTTGTAGCTTTGTGGTCCTGCTGTCAACAAAGTTTTCTAGCTCATTTCTTCATTATGTAGGCATATACCATGGATGACACTGACTCTGCAAGAGGGAAGAGAGGATGCGTTAGGGTATATAGAGTCTGTAGGTTGCCTGCTGAAAGTCTTGAAAGAAACACCTCTCTGCTCTCTGGAATCACTGTGAACTGGTCTTGACACATGCCTCAAAAAATTGGTGTGACCCATGCCTTCTGGAAAGAAAGAGAATGCCACTGAAATCCAGGACTAGCAACAAGGGGAGGGTGGGCAGGCTCAATGAGGATGGATATGAGCAAAGTGGGTAGGTGAACAAGATCTCAGTCTCTCCTGATCATGTATAGAGAGGGAGTGAGGAAAAAACTTGAGAATCCCCTGTTACTCATTACTGAAAAGCACTGACCATTTTTTCCACTCAGGATATTTTTACTAGACTTAGGCAAGGGACTGAATATTGTTTAGTGTGATGGTACTGAAAAAGGTACACGATGAAATGTGGACATATTTGTCCATTACAGTTTAAATGGATACTAAGGACTCAAAAAGGGACAGAAGAATATTGGAGATGATTTCATTGAATTCGTGCCCTCAGTCAAGTTCATTTGTGCTGCTAGTTGAAGAAGAAAAAGGATAGGGCAAGAGGCAGTAATTAGGGCATTATAAATATGTCATATTTTTTGAAGCGTAGTGCAGTTAATATTGTCAGCAACTGTTATGAGTATCACTCTCATGCAGAAGACTAGCTTTTAGTTTCTCTTCTTAGGCCTCTCAGCAGAACTGGCTGCAGTATGACAAGACTGGACCAGTTTTACCTTTAGGTTCAGCAGTTGCTCTTTAAAGAGTTAAGAAATGCAGTTGCTCATTTTGTTGATTTAATGTTAGTTTCTGTATAACTGCCTTCTGTCCCCAAAGTAAGGGTGTATAAAGAAGAAGGCTTTAATTAAACTCTTCATTGTGAAAACCTTTTCCTTCATTGTCATGAGAAATCAGGAAAGGAAAGTCAGACCGTAACAGTGATAACTTATTCCTGTTCAGTATGTGGCTTCAGACATCCTGCTTTGGCAGTAAATTCCCATTCATTAGCTTTTTCTGGCAAAAGTTAAAACAGCTTTGTTTCTATGATGACAGATAGTTGAGGCGCTGCCAGCTTGTCTTTACCAAATTTTTGCGTGCCTTTAACTGGCAGGCTTTCTAGATTGGCTTCATCCTTGGTACTGACTTCTCCTGTGGAGCAGTTGTACATGATAAATCTTCACCATTGCACCATGGTTGTCCTGAATGCCTGTACAGAATTGGCTCTGTACTCACACAGCATGCTAAATTCAGCAGTGTGGGCAGGGTAACAGGAATTGTGTGTGTAGATTGAAAAAAAGAACATAACTTTCATATCAAGGAGTGAGAGACAGCAGCAAAAGCAAAAATCAGAAATTAAAGACTCCTCTTTGCAGAGACCTGCTTGCCTATAACTAATTTGGTAACCTATAACTTGGACAACCACCTGTCATAGTTTTAAATTTGGACTGACAGTTCCATTTGTTGGCTGAAACTGTTGTAGAAGGACTGTAATTTTTCAAAAGCACTCTTCATTCCCTTTTTTTTTTTAGTGAAACAAAATGCATTTTGGGGTCTTGCAAGGGGAGTTATTTGAGCTGCTTTCAGCTTATTTTTCTACCAAAATCAAAGAATTAAAAATCACCCTGCTATGTGTTTTATATGGATGACTGAGGGAAAAGATAATGATTGTTGTCATGGCAGTCCAGTGCAGTTCCCACTGACTGGAAAAGGGGAAATATAACACCCATTTTTTAAACAGGAAAAAACTGTGGAACTACAGGCCAGTTGGTCTTGCTTTGGTACCTGGCAAGATCATGGAGCAGATTCTCCTGGAAACTATGCTAAGGCACATCGGAAATAAGGCAGTGATTGGTGACAGCCAACATGGCTTTACTAAGGGCTAACTGTGCCTAACAAATTTTTAGGCCTTCTGTGACAGGTTGATAGCATTGGTGGATGAGGGTGTCTGAGCAATAGACATCATCTACCTGGACTTGTGCAAAAGATTTTACACTGTCTTGCACATCCTTATCTCTAAACTGGAGAAAAATGGATTTGATGGATGGACCACTCAGTGGATAAGGAATTGGTGCAAAATCATGGAAGTCATCATTCTGTATACCTTTACTATGTCTTTCTTCTACCTTACCTGTTTATGGCTGAATTTCCATCTATTTTACCACTTCTTAAATGGTAAACAGATCGAGTAGTACCAGCAAAGCCCATTATTATGTACATAAAAATTCTGGTTTTTTGCAACTCTTGACAGTAAGTCTAGTCTTTACTGCTGCAAATAAACTATCAGCAAACCTTATCACATCAGGTCGTTTATTGATATGTTTAGTACTGGTCACCAAGCGTAGATTATTTTAGGACTTTGCTCCTTTCATGTATGAACATTTCTTCCCACCTTCTATTCTTGTCTTTTAACAGCACTTTATCCCTTGGCAGCTTCATTTCATTTGGTACCTTTGTTTAGTAAGCTTCCTAACCAGCTTCATGCCAGTGTAACATCCAGGTAGCTTATACTAGATAGAGCTGCATTATGCATGTTTTTTTATTTGATTCAGGTAGCTGGGGGGTTTATAGCAGCAGCCTAATCTCCAAGGTGTCATATTTACTCATTTGTCCACTAGTTTGACTCTTTGTTATAGTTTTGACAGCATTTTTTGGTACAGATACTGAGTTTACTTGATATTCACAGCTTTTTAGACCTCCAGTACTGTTTTGAAAATTGCTGTCACATTTTTGATCCTCCAGTCTGGAACTAAGAGAGTTTTAAGGAAACACTGCAGTTAATGATTCAGCTGCTTATTTATCTCATCAAGTTCAATTCTGTAGTCAGTACACAATATTCTGTCATGGCTGATACCATGAGAGTACTCATTGTTTGCTCAATTTCAGCTTCGGTTTTTCTGCTTTGGCTGTTGGCATTGGTAGTTTTATAGGATATAGAGATCTGTTTTAAGAATTTCTGGTTTTACCACTCTTCTGCCATTGTTTCAAACTTCTTATGCATGTCTACACTAGAAAAATTGGAAGCTCATCAAGCTGTGTCTTAACAAATAAGCTTGTTTTATATTAATGTTACTGTCCTGCACTGGACATCCTGTCACACTTCCTTACTAGTCTTGCTTAGCAGAGCTTCTTGCTGAGCAGAAATGGTGAGAGCTCCGTCCTCAAGGTAGACCAAATCTGTAGCTTTGTCTTTGTACGGATGAACCAAATGAAACTATTTAAATGCAGGAAAGTTGTGGTGTTCTGAGTTTGGACTAATGTGCTATTCCTCATCTGTTTTGAGTGTATCAATGCAGTGACATGAAGACTGAAGACATATTCTGTACATACGCTATGTATCTGCTCATGCTCTGCTTTTAAATACAGCCTGCCTCTTCTAACCCAATCCTTGACCAACACCCTTTATTCATCCCAGTTCACACTGTCAGGAAGCAACTGCATACATTATAAACCAGCTACTAGGGAGAAAATTGATGGTTGTCCTAGAGCTCCCTTGTGTTTGCCTCAGTTGTGTCCTCCTAATTGCACTGGTTCTGCTGCATTACGAAGTGTTCAGAAAGGATATTCCTTTCTGAGAATTCCTATGGATCTCATGTATGCAGCTGTCAGATGTACGAGTCCATGTGCAACTGTACAAGTCCATGTATCTTGTCACATGGGAACACTTCTCTGGTGTTATATTGTTAGAAACTTCGTGTTTTAACCACACTGGTTTACCTTACATATGTCATCTAATGTCTGTACTTGTAATCCGCAGCTCAATGTTATGTACAACACAAAACACACTGATCAGAGGCTCAGATATGTCCAAAAGCAAGAAGCCTTTGACTTGAATGTTGATGTAAAGGATGACAAAGATGATAAAAACCATTTGACCTTGAATGTGTGCACAAGGTAGGTAAATCAATTGGAGCATCTCATAGACATCTTTGTCTATACAACTTTTACATTATTTAAAATGAACTAAATTATCCATTTGTTTGTCTGAATTTACTAAAATATAGGATGTAAATGTATCAATAAAGAGAATAAAAATTACTTTGTAAAAATGGCAATAGTTAAGAAGCAACTCGTAAGTCAATTTTTGCTGGCCAGGAGATTTTTTTTTTTTTTACTGGTAAGTGTAAAGATACTGGTGCCTTAAACATTAAGTATATGTGGAAAAGTCTGTGTGAAATATGACAAAAAACTCAGAGGCTTCTTTGGTACAAGTGCTTCCGAGCTATATGGAAGACTGTGCGTGGACTTGAAAATTGAACCAATGTCTTCCACATTCTGACTTCTAGTAGCAAACCATGAAAATGGCCCATTACTCTTACCTTTCATGAAGAGAATCCTTTGCTTTCGATCCAGAATTAGATACTTGGCTCAGAACAATTTTGGGAGGAGTCAAAATCTGTATTTACATAATTGTGCAAGTAACTTTGTGGTCTTTCATTTACCAGTAGTTATGAATTTGGTAATAGAACACAATGTAAGCATTATTGTAGGTTTGAAACAGGTGATGAGTTTTCCAGCCAGGCTAATTCTATTATTTCTGCTGAATAAGGGGGAGGAGGATGAGGAATGTGGGGCTGTGTGTGTGCATCTGGGATGATGTTTCTTGTTCGGTAATCACCTACTAAGAACTGAGCTGAGACTGCTTAAGTATCATCTCAGAGACCACAGAACAGCCACCAGATGTTACCTGAATAGAATTTGGATCAGATGAGAACAGGTGACATCGAACAGTCATATTGCATATTCCTAGGTCAGCCAGTCATTAAACCAAGTTGCTTCTTTGATGGCTTTGTGCCACAATTTAACTTGCTTTATACATATATTTAAAAGGAATATATGAAGGTATTTGTCCTCTGACTGTTTCTTCAGTATGCATTTCCTCTTGTAGTTAAAGACCACTGTATATTTCATAGAAAACCCTATAGGACATTGTATCTCTCTATATATTTATGGTTTTTTATCTTCTATCTTTTATTATCTACAAGGATGTTGAAATGATTACATTCTTTGTATTTAAGGATTTCATCTGTTTGTGAATACTTCCCTTAGAAACACTGTTTTCTCCTTGTCATGTTATAATGGGTTCTTTGTAAATGCAAGATTTACAAAATACTACCTGATCCAGCGTGATTACTCTGACATTCCTTTCATCCACACCCTCTTTTTGCTGTTTATTTAAACTTTGAACACCATATGTCTAGAACTTCTTTTATGCTCTGATTACCACAAGGGAACTGTGAACTAGAGATGGAGCCTGTAGGTGACACCATCGTACAAATAATCAGCTATAGAGAATGTCATTTCAGTACGGAGAATTGATTTAACCTGGGAAGTAGCCAGCAGGCATAAAGCCAGAGCTCTGTTTTTATCTGTCTGTGGTATCCAGTTCAGTGACACGGATGGTGGGCAGAGACACTAGAATACATGAGAACTCTTGAAATAGAATGGGCTTGTTCTCTTTTAAAACTTTCTATGGAGCGTCAACAGCATTCTAAAGTCTAGCACAAACTCCTGACATGTAAAGGGCTTATATGCTGGGTCTGGAGTAAGTTTTTGAAGCAATCGGACTTTCTAAGACCTTTTCTTCAAAAATACAGACAAGAAGTGCTCTGTCTCTCCAGGAAGGCTCTAGAATGATGACGATGCTCTAATTATAAAGTGTTCAAAGGATAGCAGGAAATCTAGTGACATCAAAAGAAACTGCCTCAAGAGACTATTTGGAACACTGTGATCCATCAGCTCTTATCATTGAAAGTGGACTGGTATAACTTCTAGTAAATCTGTTTCTATTCCTTAGTCTAAGATTTCATCTCTGGTTGCTTAACTTGATGGATCAGCCATCATCCTTTTCTACTTTTTTTCCCTATAAATTGTACCTAATATATGCCTTATTTATATTCCTGAATTAGTTTAAAGTTGCTCTACTTATGATCTTTACAACATGATGTGGCTTTCTAATAGAGAAACCAAAGGAGGCAAATACAGAAAGATTGCTGAAATATAAACCAGTGAGTATGCATAGTCTAGCTGTGCATATGCATCTAGCTGTGGATATATATAGTTAGATACTGGAGGCTGCAACTTCACAGTTTTTTAGTTTCTCTAATCTGTAGAATATCCACCTTCTTTCAACCAGCTTGATAGTGGCTGGCCGTGGTTGTCTCCACGGGGTATCACTTATGACTGTGGAGCAGATGATATCTCACTCAAATTGAAGTGGTTCTTAATTAGAGGAGCTAACTCACTGTCTGGGAAGCAAATACCTAGGGGTGCCTATTTCTTTGCAGTCTTATTGCCTGCATACCTTTTCCAGACATGAGAAGCTGATCACTGATGGCTCTACTTACTCTCTTGTTTCTGCTTTTTGCCTACACTAGCTTGGTGTTGTTTTCTCCTCTTTACATCATCTCTGAAAGGGTCTTACCCGTATATCATATTGCTGAAGAGCTGAAACATAAGATGCATCTGAAAACATGCTCAGTTTTCTTCAGGTACAAGCTTCAAGTCTTTCTTAGTGCTCATTCTTGCGTGGTCAATTTTTTCCCTTTTTTAAGAGACCATGGAGTCGAAGAGACCCATGCCCAAGGCTACCTCTCTTCCTTGTTAAGACAACCAAATCCTCATAACTTATAAGCGTATATCTAAGTCACTCCTTGACAGTGTCAAGCTGGTTTGGTTGCCTGTTGGTATTTTAGTAGCACCCCACGCTGGCTAGACAACACGGGTATTTTACTCTCCTCTTATTGGTAATTATGCAGAAATAATTACATCCAGTTTCAGTTCAGTTATTTGTTTTCAATAGCAGCTACTTTGGCACAGCACATCATCCAACAGATGGTTTCATTTGTTTCTAATCTTATGAGCCAACTGAAGTCAGCAGTTGTGCTGTGTTTCTTTCAAAGTTGTATCTGCATTGAATCAGCCATGCTGTCAGGCTGAACAGCATTACTTTGAAAGTAACTCTTCCCTCATTTTTTTTTTTTTATAAGCTATCCAACTCTACAGAGAAATAGTTTAATTACTTTCAGCTACTGTCAGGCTTTCAAAATGAGGATTGGAGACACTTCTATTCTAGTGTAACACTAATCATTTACCCTCCATGCTAAGGCAGGGGAAACTCTTCTGTCACCTACTTTATTTAAAGCAGTACCATCTTTTGCAGGTATCACTTGTAGCAAGGAGCACCATAAAATTTTTCTACATGTGTTGTGCACCATGGTAGGTAAGGCTTGCTCAATAGAGCAAACCTTTTTAGTCCAGCATCTGATTTTCACATTGGAAGAAGATACAATAATAAACATTATTCAGGAAAAATGAACTTAACTTATTAAATCTTTTTTTTCAAATCTGGGTTAATAACATAGCTATGCATTTTAAAACTGAAACTTTGAGAAATAATCTGATAATGACTTTGTTAATGGAACCATCAGTTGCTATGAAGGCAATCTAAAAAGGTTTGGGAGACTTTTTTGTTGTATAGTTTCATCTCACCCTCCAAAATGAATAAAAGCAAAACAATGCATTCATAAGAGGAAATATGTGTATTTCAGTACAAGAATTCCTACAGCTTTTCTTAATTGCTTCTTTTGAAGCATGTGTAATTGCAATATTTCCTGTGTATTGTTGATGTAAACCTGCACTTATAGATGTCAAAAGAAAAATCCTCCTGTGTCAGTGTAGTCTCTCATATGACTCACGTACTGTAGTTTTGTCTGTGCTGAACCTGCTTTTGCATATGTGGTTAAAATTAACAGGCAAAATAATTGAGAAATGAAGTATTAGCTTGTTATAATTAGAAATTTTCTTGTCAGAGTTTTGTTCCATTTGTTTCCTAAGTATTCTTAAACATTGTTACTTCTGTAGTTGAGATGTAAAGATCCAACACTGTCTTTGGAGAGTGGGCTACTGTATTTCTTCTAAAAGTTTCTTTGTCTCTGTGTTTTGAAAAGGTACTTTGGTTCAGGCACAGCTTCCCGTAGTGGTATGGTCCTCATGGAGGTTGGCTTACTCAGTGGTTTCTCTGTGTCACCAGATTTTGTTCCATTAGACAATACAGTTAAGAAGATGGAAAAAGACAATGGAAAAGTCAACCTATACTTAGACTCTGTAAGTTGAAAATAACAAAAAAATGTGTTTGTAGTGATGTTGATCTTGACTCAGACATTGTTTGGCTTAAATTCGGAAAGACATTATGATTGTATTCTTTGAGGAAATCAACATCTGCTATTCACATTGAATTAATAGTTCCACTTTTTTAGTGAGACTAATTGGATAGGTACCATTCAGTTGTATTTGTAAGGGGTTTCTAAATTAAGTCTCTTAAAAATAATGTATAAGAAGGCAGACATTTCAAGAAGGCTGTAGTTTGACCGAGATGACTACAAATAAGATAAGTATCTTTATATGCATCCTGACTCCAAGTCTTTAGAAAAGGACTACTGCTGAGCTAAAAGTCCTTACCTCTTCCATGAAACCACCACCAGGGTTCTCAGGATATTTCTCTCCTGTTTTTCTAGTTAAATGCAACACAGGTTTGTGTGGATATTCCGTCTACAAGAGACTTCAAAGTGGCAAATATCCAAGATGCTTCAGTGACTGTGGTGGATTACTATGAACCTAGTAAGTGTCAGACATTTCAAACAGGACTTAGTGATTCAGAAGTTTAAAATAAAGGTTTTTTTATGGAAATAGAATAAATTTTATTGAAGAGAAAGCCACATTAAACTGAAGTTGACTTATTTTCATTAAAGTGCATCCTTTTGGACATTGACATGCCCTATTTCTTAACAAATAGTGTTTTCCCATATATATTTTTATTGTCCTAATGGGTTGGTTCCTCAGCTGGTGTGAGTTGTCATAACTTAGTTGTCAGCTGATATAAATTGGCTTCAGTTTGGCACAGTTTGTTCCCAAAGTTACCAAAATGAAGCAGGAACTTCACTTACCAAGTTAAAGATTCTCTCTCAAGTAGCTTTACCATCTGTTTCATGCTCAAACTAAGAATCCTTCACTGGAGAAAATGACAGTGTTTTGGTTTCTATAACTATCTAATAAAGATGTTTGTTGGAAGAACAGTTTCAAAGTTTTTTGTTTGTCTGTTTGTTTGTTTGTTTTTTGTGTGTAGAGTGTGTGTTTTGGAGAAAGGGAAAGATGTATAAAATTCTTGGGTAAAATGAATAGCAAAGAAAGATTACAAACTGCTGCAGAAGATATTAGGTTTTCATTACACCGAGCAGTTGGAACATTATTAAGGATTTGGGCTTGTTTTGAGATAAGGCATAAAAAAGTTGTATAGGCAGTTTTTTTCATGTTAGTTTGTTTTAGCACAATACAAAAGACAACCAAATATACTATGAAGTGTGCTACTGTAGCTAGGTGAAGATTGCATTTATTCTATGTAGGCTGAAATGCTTGTTCAATCACAGAATTTTAAAGTAAAATGGGAAGTTAGTGAATGTAACTACACAGTCCATTAATGTAGAGCATGTTTTAAGGCCTGATGTGGCTTAAAGAATTACATCAAGTTTTTATTTGAAACAAACGCATAACGCTTAGTGTCCATGGCCAAAATTAAATTCCGCATACTTCAGTTCCTAGGAGAAGCGCTCAGGACCTAATCTGTTAGAAAAACACCATTAGATAGGCTAATGAATATGTGTATTACAAAGTTACATATAAATGCACATGTGAAATATTTTTGTTATATTTAAATAACTGTGGTCCATAAATTCTCAATTAATAAACTAATACAAATTTAACTATATTAATTAATATCTGTGAGAACAAAAACTTGCATGACATAATCAGTGCTGAAATAGAAAGCTTTGACTTCAAGAAAGTTATTTATTTCAAATATTATTTTACAAGATACCATTCTTATTACTATATACTATAGACATATTATTGGTTAACATATGTCATGATTCTGAGTTCTCCTGAGAGAACTCCTTCCTATCTAATACAGGAATGTGCTTTTATTTTATTTTAATTATTTTCCATCACTGCTGTTGTTGGTGACCCAAGTTGTGGGGCTATATTTTATGTGATTAGTGACAGTCAGATTCATGTCATATGCAGAGTTAGGAGATGTCTAAGGAGCTCTCGTGCTCTGGCATTTATCAAAAATATGATGTCAGTGTGGCAGTAGTACAACTGTCATGGGTATAAGAGCTGGCTTGGATGCCAGTACAGCAGTATTCTCTTACCTGACAGTTTAGAACTAGTTTGTTTTCACTGTTTGGAAAGCATTTGGGCTCATAAAGCTGTATACTTTATTTTATTTTTTTTTAGTATTTTGAGGCTTGAAATGAAACTGAATATAATTTCAGTTTAAAAATAATACTAATAAAAAAAGAAATTGCAAGGTCCCTAGCTGGAATGAAAACCTTCAAAAAAAAAAAAAACAACAAAACACACTAGGGGAAAAAAACTTTGCAAAAGCTTGTTCTGTGAGCAATTACCATGCATTGATGTTTTTGAAATGAATATGATTTTTCAGACTTCTAATCTGTTTGGCTCTGTAGCAACCCTTCAGTGAATGGGAGAGTAAAATACAGGAGCAGGAGCTAGGGCAGGTAAGCAGTTCCAGATTCAGGAAGCTCAAGCTCCCAAATATGATAGAAAGAGAAACCATCAGTAATGAGAGACCTAGCTCTTAAATGTTATAGCCAATAACCTGACAGGGAAAGCATCCAAATTCCTTTGTCATGTAGTTAGGGACAAAATTCCTTTCAAAATGTTTGACTGAAGTTTGTGGACAGATTGGGTCTAACAGTTGAGATTGAGTCTATGAAAGTGTACATTTCAACAAGCATTTCCCTGAATATATTGATATATCCTGGGTGAAGAAAAATGATTAATGTCTATGCTTAAATACTAATTCTGGGAAGTATTTTGCGGTGTACGATGAGGTCTGCATCAGAGTTCAGTGCATCCTTTAAAAATGGTTTCTTTGTGAAGCTAGTTTGTTGGTCAGTTCTCAGAAGTTCATTAATTAATGTTAACTAACTTTTTTGAACAGGGAGAAGAGCAGTGAGGAGCTACAACTCAGAAGTAATGCAAAGTATAACCTCTTGTGACTTTTGTGAAAGGGATTGCAGTCTTTGCCACCGAGATGGTTCTCCGGCCTTGCTTCAGCACTCTTCGTTGGCCTCCTTGTTCTGTGTGCTGTTTGTCCTTCATGTAAACTTGCTGTGCAGTTGGGTGCTGTAAAAGGAAACATATTGTTTCACATCTAAGGTTTCCATAAATTATCCAAAGAAAATTTTATGTTCAGATACCAGCCCATCTTCAGTGATTACTGTGACCAAACTCCTGCTGTGTTCAGGGAGAACTGGGCTGGCCCATATGGTAAATTTCTGGCTGTGCCAGAAAACTTCTTTAAATGTCTGCTGGAAAAACTTTGTTAGTTTCATACCGAAGTTATTTTCTGAAGAAGCACAGAGTTACTGAGAAAGCAGATTGAGAAAAAATAAACTTAGCTCCATATTCCCACTTCGATTTTACCCCAGCTTTCAACTGTGCTTGTTTTTTAGGGGTGTATGTTAGTTTACTTTGCTTTTCTGAAACACTGTCTGCTTCTCCACTGGAGCGTTGATAAGCAGAGTAATGGGAGCTTGGTACCAGAACTCACTTTGTTCTGTTCTGAAGATATGACACTTAATACTGAATTTCACTGTGCACTCTAATAGGGAACATGAAAAAAAAAAGAAGCCGACTTCAGAGCAGATCCAAGAGCCAAAAAGTGCTGCATCTACAAACTGCTGAACGCTCCAGAAAGTTGTCAGTTTCCTTTTTTCTTTGTTTTATCATTACAGAGAAGGTAGGCAGATTTTTTGCCAATTCATAAGCTAATCATGCTTGAAAATAAGGCCTCAGGATGTTCTCATGCATTTTACTCTGAAAGGGTTTTACTGTAAATGCATCAAAGATACAGTCTGCGTTACAGACTTCATTTTTCCAGAATTATTCAAAACCAGACCTAATTGTCTTTCCATATGAGAATGCTGGTGTCAGCTGGTGTATATTTATGGCCAACTGGAGTAAGGTTACCTTGAACCTTTTCTGGTTTTGGGAAGTCTTCTAGTAATGGCACTCTGGGGCATCATTTTTGTCTTGCATTTGCAGTGTCATCTTGTCAACAGTTTGAGGGGGATGACCCCAAACAGCTGTTTACAGCTCTCAGTGCCATGTGAGTTGGTGGCCCTGGATGCCATCTGTGCACCCTGCTGTTGGTTGGTGGAAGAGGCTTTTAGGAGGCATGGACTGCGCATGTATTCAGTCCAGCAAAACGACACACAGGATTGCTTAACTTGAAGCACATCTTTGTACGCTTAAGTGCTTTGCTTAAGTGGGATGGAGGAGAAGGATGGTGAGAAGCAGCAGGCAGTTTTACAACCTAAACCTGCTTTTCGCACGTGGGGAGAATTAAAGATCTGTACGAATGTGCAAACGTGGGCTTCAGATCTTATTGCTGCTGAGTGAGTGTATGAGCGTGTTCCTTGTCTGGCAGCCAATTTATCCTTCTTGAACACTGCCTGTGACATCTAATGCTTATTTCTTTTTAATAAGAAAGCCAAGCTGATAACACTCACAGTTACTAAAATGAAGTTAATAGCTGTATGCCAGCTAACAGAGGTAGAAATTATGAGACTATTGATTCCCTTTCTTTCATATCTTTTTAAGACGGAGTGTGTATTTGTGCACATGTAATAATATGGCAGTCACTTTCCTTGAGTAATTTTTATTCAAATTTTGCTTCAGCTTAAAATGTATGTTTTTGTATTTATGCTCATCTATACTGTTGTTCACAATGGAAATTTTGTGTAGTAGCATGGGAAGAGGCCTGAACTTCCTGAACTGGGAGTGCCTTCTAATACTGATGTATAGAGTTTTAACTGCAGAACTAGTTTAGATGGGGTTATTTGTTTTATTTCAGCTATATTTAGAATTTACAATGTTTTTCACAAATTTGGGGTTCTGTTCTGTTTCTCTGGCAGAGCTTAAGCCTGGTTCTTTGTAGTCAGTTCACTCTTTTCACTTGTTCTTGGTACACTTTGGATCTAACCCCTTGAATAGTTAAGTAGTGCCTTAACAGAGCATCTGTGCTGCTCTGACCCACATTAAGTAATACTGTATTTATTGAAACTGCTTAGTCAGTAGGATGCACGGTCTGACCCTCTGTAAGCCATGCCCTTGGTTACATGGGTCCAAAGCTACAAGAAACCAAGATACAAACTGAAACGCATCTCTGCATCACAAATTCTTTACTCATTTATGGGAGCATAGGTTGAATTGTGCCGAGTGTAAGATTTGGAAAATGTTCAGTCTCTAAACTGGGATGTTTTGGTGTGGGTTTGATTTCTTGGTGACCTATGAAAGCTGGTCTCTTGTCTTTGGGGACAGCAGTGTCAACATGTCATTTGCCTCTTTTTAATATAAGTTCAAGAATGCGAAGCTCACATACTTTCAGGTTTTACTATGTGTAGTGCTTCTAAAAGGGACATTGGTACCTGGTTGATGTTAGGATAAAGAGGCTCATTTTCTAGACACAATGTACTGGAGATAAATTACTCCTTTGCAGTAGATAGTAAGAAGAAATTAGTTCTATTTAGCATGTAGTCCCATCTTCCTGATTTCCTTCAAGAAAAACAAATTTCAACTGCTTAGCTGAGTCTTGGACAGTGCAGCTTTTACTAGTATTCCCTTGCATTTGTTTTTGAGACGAACAACACATGTTTTTAAATTACTTTTGGCTGCCTTGCACACCACATAAAAAACATCAGTCATAATACACTATATCAGGGAAATTGTTGGACTCAGAGAAAAACATCCTCTTTTATTTTACTTTTTTCTATACAGCAGGCATATCATTACAGACATCCAAATCTGCCTCTGTACCAAGCTATTTTAAAGGAACAGTGTACATTGTCTAACTTTAAACAAATGTTTGCAACAGGTGGCCTATAACATTCCTGCATCAGTGCCTTCAATCACTTTGCAGCTGTGGCTGGTGCTTTGAATGAGTTGCAGAGGATAAAATTTGTAATGTGTGTTGGCAGTGAATGGAACAGTGGACAGGGAATATTATGGGAAATAGTGACTTTTCTTTTGTTTTCCTCATCATTTTGGGGGAACTTTTACACAAACGCTCAGTGTGTATATGATCCCCACTGTAACGTCAGTTTTTGATGTTAGAGGGGCTTGTTCCCACTGAAGTTAATAGGAAATCTTTTAGAACTCTTTAGCACAAGGTCTATCAGGAGCGTTAAGGAGTGGTGCTAAAAGCAGTCAGGAAAAGGTATTTTGTGATGGAGTCTTCATGTTGCGTTGCATGAACATTTCTGTGTGATTGCTGTTTCTTTGAAACCTGAGTGTTCTCTGGTACTATGCTTTTCAGCCACATGGTGTCAATGGATATGGTGCGTTCAGGGCCATTAATACACTATCGAGTCAGTAAGAAATATTCATTTACTTCGGATGGAGTCTAGGAAAAAGCATAGTGCAGTCCCCCCAAAAATTCTACCTTTGCTGTCATCCATGATCTTAGTTGAGGTTTTCTCTGTAGGTTTCAAGGTGGGTGTCATCTAGAAATCTTCTATCCTAAATGCCGTTTTTCAGAATAGGGTATGAGTGCTGCCTAACAGCTTTAGAGCACCTCAGAGTCTGCATGCTGGGCCAGCTTGATGGCTGGTTTGGTTCTCAGTATAGCACTGCTGTAGAATTGTTTAGGTTGGAAAAGACCTTTAAGATCATAGAGTCGAACTGTTAATCCAGCACTGCCAAGTCCACCACTAAACCCTGTCTCCAAGTGACACATCTACACATCTTCTAAATACCTCCAGTGATGGTGAAACCACCACTTCCCTGGGCAGCCTGTTCCAATGCTTAATAGTGCTTTTGGTGAAGAAATTTTTCCTAATATCCAAAATAAACCTCCCTGGCACAACTTGTATCAAACACAAGAAGTGCAGATATTTCCCAGTTTGCTTCCATACCACATGCTCCCATTTACTTCACAAGCAGGAGCCTGTGGCTTGTGGACATCAATGGCATGTGATAAAAGGGAGAATTGGCCATACTTGTACAGGAGAAACATGAGAGCCAAAGTCCAATGTTCACAGAATCATAGAATGTTAAGGAGTTGGAATGGACTCTAAAGATCATCTAGTCCCAACCCTCCCTGCTGTGGGTAGCAGACCAGGTTGCTCAAGACCTTATCCAACCTAGCTTTGAGCACTGCCAGGGTTGGGGCATCCTCAGCCTCCCTGGGCAACGTGTTCCAGGGTCTCACCACTCACACAGTAAAAAATGTCTTCCTAATATCTAACATAAATTTCTCTTCTTTCAGTTTATACCCATTATTCCTTGTCCTGTCATTAAAATTCCTGATAAAGAGTCCCTCCTCTGGCTGCCCTGTTAGGCCCCTTTCAGATACTGGAAGGTTGCTATGAGGTCTCCATGTAACCTTCTCTTCTCCAGGTTGAACAGCCCCACCTTTCTCAGCCTCTCTTCTTGGGGTAGATGCTCCGGTACTCTTATCAACTTCATGGCCCTCCTCTGGACTTGCTCCAGCAGTTCCATGTCCTTATAATATGCGCCTCTCTTTTGTCTTGAAAGTCGCTGTTGAAAGTCAAGCCTAAGATGCAAAAATTGGTTTTATTCAGTTTCCAAAATATTATCCCTGCAATATTTCTCCAAAAGTGATGTTCAAGTTGATATGAATATTGAAAATATTTGGTTTAAGTTGGTTCGTGTAGAAAGCATATGCATATACAAAATCACTATAGGCTGCAGTGTGCTACAATGTGCAGTGTACGTGCAATTAAAATCAAGATTTCCACAAAGTGCCCAAACCAACAACATTGTGTGATGTTAGTTTTTTTAAAATACAGTTAGGTTCTTAGGAAAGAATATATTAGAACTAGTGCCTGATGGCATAATTTTTCTATCTCAAACACAGAGTATTCAGTTTTAATTCTAATGAAAAATAATATTTTTGTTACAACCTTTCTTCTTCTACCGTAAATCTTTATGCAGTGAACCATCTCTTTGTGATTTGAAGATTTTGAAATTAGACATTCTGACTAGTAATTTATGTCAAAAATATAACAGCAGTTATGTCTTCTTTTCCCCATATCAAAATATTTCACTTCCATGTCGTTTGTCATTCGGCTTATTGTATTTTTGTGTGCCATATGGAAATACCATTGCACTAATGCTATTCTAGACAATAAAGGCTGACTGTGCTGTATTAGACCAATCCAGTGACTATTTTTCTTATGAATAGCTTGTTTCCAGATGCATATGAGCATTAACTCCTTACATACTGCTTTTGAGTCACCAGAACTCCAGTGTAAGATTTATCTTTAAAAATCATACATTTTATTTCTGTGTTTCTTACTGGTTACCCAAAAACTTCATCAGCCTTGCTTAGATCTTATGATGTTATATTATGAACTAGTTTTTTTTTGCTATGGGTTTTTGTATTGTTAGGTTGTGTGGAGTTCTAAATACAAGGAAGGAAATATAAAATTGCTGGCTCAAAGGAAGTATATAAGTGGGTATAATGTACCATACATTAGCTGTCCCACTGAATAGCACATCTCTTCTTTTTTCTATATCAGGCCTTAAGCAATTTAAACTAAAATTTTTGGCTGCCTTGAAACATGGTCAGATACCCATTTTGGTGTAGGGTAGGTTCATCATTTCCACTTTTGATCAAATCAGAAATGGTAGAAAAATAATGCTTTTATGAGCTGTTTGGAGCAAACAGAGGTGAATTAACATGCCAGCTATGCAAATCGCTTCTGTCTTTTCAAATAATAAATGCTAAGGAACTAGACTGTTTTAAAGGATTTTGGAAAATTGTAATTGGTTTATTTTCCTCAAATAAAGTTTGCAATAGCTATTTTTAAATTCTATTAAAGATGACTTTTAATAATATATGTCTGTTGTTTGCTTGTTTACCAGTACAGCTACTTGTACTAGATCACAGTTTCTGTACACTGTTAACCACTGCCCATCCTCATCACTTCTTAGGGGCTGTCTTGCCTGTGTTTTAAAGCTCACAATTTAATAATAGAAGTAAAATAAAAATAAAATAAAGTGGTGCAACAGTGGTTTCCATGGTCAGACTGTGAACAATGAACCTGTGGGTCATTGTTTGTGACTTATAACTGGGGTCACCTCATTTTTAAAAGTATATTATTTTGTTAACATGAAGTTATCAGAAGATTTGCTCATATCTATAACAGAGGTAGTATAACTAGTCTTATGTGATGAACTCAGTTTGGGTAGGCCCCTTGTGGTCATGGAGAACCTCAGAAACTATACTGTTTGGTGAACAGGAGCAAATCTTTCAGATACAGAGCTTACTGCTAAGAGAGAAAAGCTCACGTGTCGAGATAAAGACACATGGGGGAAGGGCAAAATAGGAAGAAAAAAAGAGAAAAAGCGAGGGAGGCAAAGGCATCACTGACCACGTTCCACCAGGAGACCAATGTCCAGCCAGTCTCTGAGCAACAGCTACTTTGGAAAGTACCTCCAGTTTTAATGCTGAGCATGACATTAATATCGTATGGAACATCCATTTGGTCAGTTTGGATCAACTGTCCCAGCTATGTCCCCTCCAAAACTCTTGCTCACCCCCAGCCTACGTGCTAGGAGGACAGAGTGAGGAACGAAGAAGGCTTGGACACAGCTAAAACATTGGCACGTTATTTACACTATTTTGGTCACAGAGCTGAAATGCAGCACCATTTGGGCTACTGTGAAGGGAATTACCTCCAGCACAGTCAAATCAGTTCACCTGCAAACCCCTCCAGCAGGTCTCCTTTGCTGTGATTTCACATGCAATGGTGTGTGTTAGCATTGACAAGCCTTGTGCTCCCATGGATCTGAGCTCTGTTGCAGTGACCAACATCATGCCGTTTCTTGGGTCTTTTCAATGGATCTATCTGTTGTTGTCTCTTCCCTTCTAGTGAGATTTTAACTCTCTTGCCATCTAGCTAAAGCCTGCTTTTTCCTATATTGGTATAAGTTTTTTGCAATAGGGTCTCTTGTATATTCAAATAATATCTTTTTATGGGGAAAGGCAGTAAGCCTAGGAGTATAAATATGGAAATATTTTGATAGAATTTAAAATACCTCAATTGTACAAATGAAGAATCCACTGAAGTAAAATTACTGTTTCAGTAGGTTTTTATTGTTTTTTTTTAGTGAAAAAAATCCCATTCTATAATTTGTTTTGCTCTCCTAGAGCTGTCCCTGCAATCCCCAGACCTTGAGAAAATGCACCCATTTCTATATGGCAGCAGATGATAAAAGATACAGAATGTTTCAGTATTGTTTCTTCCTTCACTCTTCTTGTATGTGTAACTGTTTTAAGACTGCAGGTTCGTGGGTTTATATTCTTTTGCCCAGTATAAGAAGATAATAAAGCCATACAAATACTCTGCTTCATCTGACTGCCATATGTTTTAGTTCTATGTTCTAATTCTTAACATATAACTTAGCTGATGTCCCTTTAATAGAAAAGCACTTTCCAAAGTGGAAGATAGTTTAATGTTCTGTTCTTTAAAAATATTTTTCCTTATGCTCAAGACATTTGCCTAATGCTTGTTATTTGTTCATTCTCCCTTTCTGCTTCCTTCCCCCATTATTAGCACATTAAGGACTGAGGAGTGGTAATTTTTAGTGGCAACAAGAATCACAGAATCACAGGATATGCTGAGTTGGAAGGGACCCACAAGGATCATGGAGTCCAACTCCTGGTCCTACACAGGACCGTCCCCAAGAGCCACACCACATGCCTGAGAGTATCATCCAAACACTTCTTGAACTCTGTAACTTGGTGCTGTGATCACTGCCCTGGGGACCCTGTTCCAGTGCCCAACCACCCTCTGGGTGAAGAACCTTTTCCTGATGTCTAACATCAACCTCCCCTGACAACTTCAGGCCATTCTCTCAGGTCCTGTCACTGGTCACCACAGAGAATAGATCAGTGCCTGCCCCTCCTCTTCCCCTCACGAGGAAGTTCTGGACTGCAATGAGGTCTTCCCTCAGTTTGCTCCAGGCTGAACAGACCAAGTCACCTCATCTGCTCTTCATACGGCTTCCCCTCAAGACACTTCACCACCTTCATTGCCCTCTTTTGAATGCTCTCTCTCTAAGAGCTTAAAATATAAATTTTATGTAATAAAAGAATATTGTGCAGCTAAATTTTCATACCTTTCTTTGGAAGCATCCTCTGCAGGTTTCAAGACAGGGCTTGATGTGTTTCTGCTATTACCCTCTGTAACACATTCCCTAAGTCCTTCTTGTGCAAGGAACCCTGAATGGAACTGCTGCTTCCTTATTATCCTCTTCTGGGCTTTGAAAGCCTTAAAATAACTGAGTATTGCAGTGGAGAAAGGATTTTCTTTTGAAGAGCCAGTATAGAAAGTTACATTGAGTCAAATTTCACAAGGGTGTTATGGGTTCCTGTTTTGAAAGGTAGAAATTGCCTTATTGAATTTGCAGGCACCAATAGACTGAAGGGACTTCCAGCACTGCAGAAACCAGAATTCAGGTTGACCTTGACAAAATACAGAAATGCTCTAAAAATATTGGTTTCACTCCAACAGTGAGAAGAACAAAGCTCTGTGCTTAGGAAAGACAGTGCTGAGCTGCACAGATGCAGACTGGGGAATGACTGACAAGGTAGAAATTCTCCTGAAAAACAACCGAGATGCAAATGGATCTTTCACTGAACACAGGCCAAACTATTGCATCTGACAACATTTGTCAAGTTATTCTAAAAGAAGTAAACGTGCTGGGTTTTGTAAATAGAAGTGCTATCTGAAAAGCTGTGCTTCCTCCATCCAACACTGCTGCAGTCTCAGCTGAAGGAGCTGCTCTGGTGCGGGCTGAGGCTGCAGATGGAAATGTCAGCCGAAATGAGCAGGGACTTCACAGACAAGATGTATGAGGATGGGAATAAAGAAGCAATGGTTTAATCTACAGAAGAGGCAGCAGAGGTTAATGGGATAATAGTTTATCATTGAGGTGATGGTGATAATAGTAAAAGTAGTAAAGGGATTAAATAGTAGCAAGGAGCAGTCAGTGTAGATATTTATAAATAGAGTCAAAGGATCTTCAGTGCTTAATTTTCTGAAAATAGCTTGTAGGCTTAATAATATCATGGAAGCCTAAGATATGAAATCCAACTGTTGTAGCTTGACAGCTGGAAGAATGTGAAGCCTGATAGTGGGGCATTTAAGCAGTTAAGTATGAAGGAGCTAGAAATGCCTGTACTGCACTGAAACACTAACCAAAGCTGATGTAAAGCAGTGTGGAAGCTCATGGTGGAGCTGTTTTAAATCCTACCTGGAGCATAGACATGACTTCTCTGTGTCCCTGACACTCCTAGTTATCTGGGTCCAGAAAGCTATCCATGCCTTTATTTCCATAAGGCCATAGCAAGTGCTTGAATAAACAGTTGCAGAGTAGAAAAGGCTTATTTAGATGAAAATCTTGCTTTATGTTTGTATTCCTACCAACAATTTGCATTTGGTTTTTTTTCTTGTATTTTAGGTAGTTTGTTGCATTTGTTATCCTGTTTTATTTTCTTCATTTGCCTTCAGTTTAAGCCTTTTACGTAATACATAACACTGATTCCTTCTAAGCTGACTGCAAGGACTGCTTTGCAGTTTTACCTTACAATATATTTTATGTAGTTTTATGCATTATTATCTGCTATAATCTCCCAAGTGGTATACGAATAGACTAATAACTCTAGAAGTGTATCTTCTAGGCCAACACTATTACGGTTGGTACTGCAATAAAACTGATTCACTGTTCATGAAAGCATGTACAAAAAGGGAAACCTACCATGTTTATTACAATGTCATTCAATATGTTTTATTACTAAAAGAAATTCATATACAGTGAAATTTTCAGACAGTTTGAAATTTGTAGGGTGGTACACAAAAGGAAGTTAATTTTGCAGTCTAATGGGAAGTACTTGGTACTGAGATCTTCATACAGAGCCACTTATATGTAAATTTTAATTTCAGTTCTGTCATAAATGGTTTAACTTAAAAATATTTTAATATTTAAAATATTAATATGGGGATCATATAAATGTAACATGGAACAACATATAAAATCAACTTTTCCTGTCAATCAAATAGTTGTATTTATTTTTTTTCTTTTCAAATTGATAATAGTCCTAAGTAAAGCAAATTTGGAACATGAGATATTTTGATAACGGACCAGTTCCTAGAAAAGTGGTTTTGAAGCAAGCTACAAGATAAAATATAGAATTAACCAGAGCTTAAGTGTAAATATTGGTGCAAACATACCATCCCTTCATACATGAGAAGTGTCAGGCAGATGCATGTGTAAGTGGTGCACAAGTGGTGACTCTTTTTTTTCTTGACTCATGGACACCTTTAAAATACCTGTGAACCCGTGCACAGGAAGTGCATGTTGGTGGTGCACACTTTCAGACCTCAGTATCTTGTTACCTGTTCTGTGTTAGCCCATGTCTGTCCAGTCTTAGCTGTGGTCTTCATATCTTGTAACCAGCCAAGACCTTAGGCATAGCTACTTAGGAAAGTAAGGATCTTAATATGTCTGAAGCAAAGAATGAGAAATCATATCCCTAATAAAGAGGAATAAAATTATATAAAAAAGAGCCTCTTGACCTGATTCACAACAGCCATCTACCAGGGACACTGTACAGATTTCCCCGGGGATTCTTCTGACTCACATTGATGGAAAGGGAGGTCTGGGCTAAGGGATATTATAGGTAAGTGGATAGACATTTTGTTATATTTTTTTAGAGATGAATGCTTATTAAAATGCTGGATTCAAGGAGTAGGGATAGTATTATAAGCACATGTGGAAAAAATGTACTAAGAAATCTCTGTGGTTTCATATGTAGAAAAAAGATAGCAG